CCAAATTAATTGTTTTATTTTTTCTTGCCGTCCTAAGTTTAATTTTATTTTTCAATAATAATATGCTTTCCATGTAATTATTATTATTAATTCTTGCAATATTTCAAATAATAAAAGAACATTTAAAACATTTCTTATGTTTTTTTTAATGACATGTTTTTACTAAAACTACATTTATTTTATATTACTTTAGCTATTTTTTTATTTATAACAGTAAAAAAAAATCTTAGTTAAAATTTTATTTATTTTTTAAGTGTCAGTCCATTGAGTCTGATTTAAAATTTAAAAAATCAATGCCCACTCATTTGAAATTTAATTTAATCATGTGACTTGTGATAATTAAAAAGAAGGATATAATAGAAAGGCATTAACTCATCGCCATGTGATATAATCAGGTGTATAGTATTATTACACCCTTTGCTTGAAACCCATTTTTTTTTTTTGCTTCAATGAATTATTTTTACTTTTCGTTTGACTTTTTTTTCTAGTCTGTGAACCAGCAGACTTTTCTAGAATTTGTTTCATAATTTTCAACCGTCGCACGTTAGTGTTATGTTGCGTTTTCATGCGATTCCTTCACCTGTTATCAAAGGGCCGCGGGCACGCATAAAAGGGGAAAAGTGTGTCGCACTTTGGGGGTCCGGGCGCACACATGCTCATTGTCAGTCAGTTCCCTTGAGCAGGTGGATTGTGTCCCTCACGAGCACGTGTTTGCAAGTTACATGGGCTACGGGGGTCACTGCGTCAGTGTGCGGAAATCCCCTTCTTGTAAAAAGTTAAAAATGGTGAAAATCGAATTGAGAAGCCCAGGAATAAAAATATCTTACTTCAAAGTTTTTTTTCTGACTTCATTTATAAAAAAAACAATTTAAAAAAATCTGCTTGAATTATAAATTCAACCAGTCCCTATTGTGAAATTTCCACAGAGAAATTCCTGCAAATAATAAACTTTGATGCGAATTATTCTATTATAATTATTAATAAAATACCAAACCCATATATTAGCATGAAAAAAAGTAAAATAAAAATCTTGTTTTTAACAAACAAAAAAATATCTTAAAAATGTTTTGCATCAGAAAACATTCAATAATACTGATTCAAATAAGATATAACTATGACAAACAATATTACAATCTGAATTTAAACAAAAAATTATTTTCTGTTTATTCAAGACGTTATCCTATTAACATTTCATTGGATTGTATAATGTTGGTTTGCAGTTTACAGGTGTGATTTTCTAGTTGCACTTTTCGGCCCTTTGTTCAGCCGTGCAAAAAATCACACCTCGTGCCAACTTGGCTGCTCGTGTTTGTCTCATTTCCGCGACGAAAGAACGTGTTTATCTGGCAGCACGAGATTTAGACCGCGTGATTTGGCATCTTCGCGGTGATCCGAATAAAATCCGCGGGGATCAAAGGTACACGCCACTGAAAGAATCCTGCGAAGCAACAAGCAGTTCTTACGTAACCTTTCTTTCTTTCTGCTCATTTCCGCAAGTTTTGTCAAATTACATCTGCTGATTCAAAGCTCAAAGAAGCCACTCCACGTGCCGCGACACGCAGTCGATCAGGCATCACTAACGAGCAGCAAAAGTTATTAAAGAAACACGGCTGTAAATAACTCATAAACCGACTGAGAACAATGCTTATAGCGAGACGAAAGCTCGCGGAGAGGAAAAAACTAAAACAGAGGAGACCTCCCCTGACAAAATTTCGTCGCGCTTCTATTTCGATACGCGATGGATTTCGATTTCCAACCTCTTTCCTAGTGAACTGAAAGCAAAGTATATAATTGGCTCTCTTTGTCTCGGCACCTATTTAATTTTATGCCCTCGTGGCTGTTCATCTTTCGTGCTCAGCAGCAAGGAAGTCGGTCGTTCGTTAGCTCGAGCTCTATTCGGTTTTATGGAAGACCTCAGTACCATCACGAGCGCTAATTGACATTTTTCGCCTCCTAATTACAATTAGTGGACCGGGGTGTGCGTGCTGGTTTGCACGAGGCGCCGAAAGCAAAGTTTGGAATGAAAAATATTAAAAAAAAAAAAATCCCAGTAGATGAAAAAAAAAACTATTTTTCCTGTACATAATTCCTAGTAGTAATGCGGGATTGTTTCTAAAAAGAAAACTCATGGTAATTTTCACTTAATTATTACAATAGACGAGTGTTTCTTCATTTGCAACTAAATTCGTGACCAAACACCAAACCATAAAAATGAAAGTGCAAAAATCATAAAGTAATTTTTTTCAAATGAAAATTTTAACCTTGTTTCTGCTTGTTTCCTTCACATTATTTTATGAATTGAATAGCTGAAAAATAATGGCCTGATTTTGTGATTAATTCATTTTTATAAATCTTAAAAGAAAAAAGAGAAATAAATAACTGAAAATTACTTAAAAATTTTATAACCTTTTCATTTTACAGTAGCTCAAAATTAATCAAATTTAATTACAAAATTAACGTAAACAGAATTTAAAGAACTAAGCCGTAATGTTCTGGAATCTAATAAACCACAGAAATTTGAGTATTAAATCACACATTTAAAAAACATTCAAAAATTGAAAAAAAAAGTGCAGAGGAGATCATAATTTTTTCGATTATTAACGATCATAATGAACTTTACTCCCAACTTATATTGAACAAAATTAGGCCATGATCAACAACCTGCGATAAAATAATCAAGCTACTTAGAGGCATTACATTCAGTGTACGCATTATCACTGTTTATAATCTTTTTACCGCTTAAATTTGTTTCCATAAGCCAGAAAAAAAATTGAAACTCTCGGTCTAGAGTTAAATTTTTTGTCTCGCGTGATGTTCACATGCGCTGCACACTCTTCAAAAAATACAGATATGTTTGCTAATAAAAAATAAACGCCCTTATCTCTCCGCTGCCGAGATATCTGGAAGAGCCGCGGTCGAGCCCTCCCCGAAAATTTTCAGAGCAAACACATCTTCTCTCTAACCAGGAGGGACGAATAATTAGGCGCGGAGCAGAGAGACGGTCGTAAATTACGCGCCTGTATACCAACAGCTTCCAAATTTTTTATCGCCGCCGTGTGTGCCGGAATGTAAGTTTGCTGCCTGCATGACACTCAAATTAATACCTGCGAGAATGACGAAAATGATGAATCGGTGTTAATACTCGTTATATTCAGACAGGATTACACGCACTTTTCGGCTCGTCAGGATTAAATCCGCCTTTGCCGACCTTCGTAAAGGCCAATTAGATAAAATCGTCGTTACATTCAGTAATAACAAAGAGCTGACGCACAAAATTTTGTCTAGCTCCCTTTCGATAATTTTATATTTTTTCTAGAAAATTTAATTATTCGGAAAATTTCATCCTGCATCTTTTGAACTTTTATATTTTTATGCACCTTTCCTACAGAAAACTGCTGGATTTTTTTTTAATTTTCCTTTTTCAAACTCTTTTGTACATATTTCATTATTTATTAATTTCTGTTAGAGAAATGTGCAGTAGGCAAATCTTCACACAAATGGGACAAATTTTACGTATAAATATAATTAACATTCACTGCGAAATAAATGGGCAGTCGTTAACAATTAAAAAATTTAGGGCACAGCAAGTTTTATACCAAATCGGGATATCCGTCTTGATATATATTTTTTTTAAATTAATTAAAACACTTTTAACAGTTTTGTAAAATTTAAAACTTATTTCACCGAGTTAATCAGCAATAAAATTAGTGAAATTTTTAATGCATTTATGGTGTATTCTCTTTTTTAACTCAGTCAAAATTTCCACCCGAAATCAATTAATTTTATTACATAAATCGCAAGGAACCTTTTCAAGAAGGCAGAATATTTCAAATCGGGGCTTATAATTCCAACAATGTTGAACTCGCGCCAAATATTTGGGTCTGGATTGTCTGGAATTCTGAATTGGCCGCCGAGCATTTTCAGAATTGAACGAAATCATCCGTTGGAAATGCACCGCAGTGTGTCTCACAATCTGGTCTTGACTTTAAAATTAGACGCGCAATCGAATGAGCCCCCTTCTCAAATATAGCCCTGCGTCTCGCGAGGGGTTGTTTTGCGGTATGCATTTCACTCAAGCGCGGTCCCTCAGCATTTCACGTTTTGAGCGATCGGCTCGCCGCGGCGCTCGCTCTCTCAATAATAGCCTCGTGGCATTTGCATTTTCGATTCGCTAAAGCTGCCGACGAGAGAGTACGAGACGGAGCACGTGGTTGTACCGGCAAAGAAGCCGAAAGGCTGGAAAATGAACACCGAGTTAAAGCAGAAGTAGCGCTCTTGGCAAAGCAAACTGACCTTCCGGAAAAATTTATGCAACCAGTATTTTTAGATTGTTATTTTTTCATTATGAATGAGTTTTGAAAATAGAGTACTATGTGCTCCGCTAGGTCGAGACAGAAATTCTAGACAGAGAAGTGTCGCGATTTCGTAAATTAGAAGAAAAAATAATAATAATCTAACTCTATATAATATATTTTTATAAAATTTTACAAGTGATAAGTTCAGTTTCCACACACACAAAATATGGAAAATAAAAAAATAGACATTTTAAAATAAAATAAAAAAAAGTTAAAAAATAAAATAATAAAAAGTTGGAAGCTTTTGAAATCAAAAACATTATAAAAACTCCTTTTTGTCTTATTGTTAGTCGAATCAAGTCTATACAACAATGCAATAATGGAAGTTGAAATTTCTAATTGTTTTCCAATAATTTAAAGAAAATTGCTTCCATCGTTTTAAACACTTGATTTGATGATGCAACAATAAAATCAATTTTGATTGTTATAGTGAGCCGATCAGATAAATGGTACCACGAAACTGGCACAACTCCTGATTGAAAAGCAATGCAAACAAATTTTTTGATTGTTGCATCAGGCCTATTGATAAAATTTTTGCGCTTTTTTAACCGGCTTTACGTTGAAGTCAACATTTATTTTCCCGCCTAAATAAATTTGCTAATTTTTTGATTGAATTTGTTTATCAGCAATTAAATTGTCACTCACCGATTGGTAGGGAACGCCATCGTGTTTTCCTCTTGGTCTTCTTGCCCATGTCGGGCTGGCGCGGCGTGACCGGAGGGCCGCTGTCCTTCTCGGGGAGCAACTTGGCGGGTCGTTCGCTCTCTGGTGAGTCCTGCTCTCTCGTTTCCTCCGCCGTCTCAGTCGGTTTCCTTTCTCGATTTTTCGGACGCACCACTCGCTGTGTGTCTCGCAGCCGCTCAGCAGCCGGTCTGGCGCTCTCGCTCGCGGCCGCCGCGGCGCGCCTCCTCAGCCAGCGACATTATCGGAGCTCGCCTAAAACACACACCATTCACATTCAGTCTTTGCAGCTTTGCAGGTGCAGCCGAGTGTGTGCTTCAATAACGTGCACGGATTGCGTCATGCGGATGGAAAATTCATTCAAATATGTAGCGCGGCGCATGTTCTGCGCACAACTTTAATCCGAGGAACCTCCGAGGGTTACTGGGATATTATTTGAGACAGGTCACGGTTGACAATAAAAACAAAAAATCGGAAGAAAACAGACAATTTACTGCAAATTTTCAACTCAATTAAAATTAATAAAGTTATATGTTACATAAGAGGAAAATAAAAAATAAAAATAAAAAAGTTTCTATATATAGGCTTGCGTAGTTGTTGTTGGGGAACCTTTTGCCACTCGAGGTGATCATTTTATGATGAAATAAAATCCGGCTTACTTGGTAAAGATGAGCAACTTTATTGTTACGTTTCTGCATGATTATTATTACATTTTGAAAAATTAAAATGCGAATAATATAAAAAAAAATAAAAAAATAAACAATATTTTTCTCCTTAATATTTAATACAGAATATTGGAATTAATTCCATTTTGAGAATAAAATTTTTTAAGCAAACCATTTTTTAAATCCACAAATCATTTTTGTTTCGTCTTCCAACAAGAAAAGAAGTGTCAACCGATTGGAAAATTTAAATTTCTCGTCTGTTTCCTAAAGAGCACCTTTTAGAAAAGCTTCTTGTGGCAATCAAAATTTAAGGTCTAGTTAGACCCCTAACTTTGTGTGTCACAGAAGCCTTAAATGTCAAAATTAGTCGTTCAAAGAGTGTCATCCGATTGGAAAATTTAAATTTCTCGTCTGTTTTGGTAGAAGCACCCATTTGAAAAGCTGCTTTTAGCCATCAAAATTTCACGTTTAATTAGACCATGCTGCGTGAATTAAATTTTTCACAGAAGTAGTTGCATGCCAACTAATGTTTTTGCAAACAAGTATATTGAAATCAATTAAATTTCATGGCTTTTAATATACAATTCAAGAAATTTCTGCAAACTTGCTTCATTTCATTTAATGCTAGTATTAAAGAAGCAAAAAAATAAATTTATTTTAGCGCCTAGTTTGAGAGCAATTTTTTTCTTATAAACTTGCTCTGATGGTTTAATAATGCCCCAAGCCCCCAAGTGTCCTTTTTTGGAGGGCAAGAATCTCCCATCAGAAGCAGGATATTTTCCTCATAAAATAGAGCAGATGAAATTATATTTATGGTGGACTAATCATTTTTTTATCTGTTGCGTAATTTTCAATTATATTACAACAGGGTTCTGATTGTGTGAGAGGAGTAAAATGCATTGATTTCATTATTAGAGGGAAAGCTATGGTCCAGATTGCAAAGGAGAACATTTTCTTGTTAGCTACTGTAAACTGAAATAATTTAAATTTGCCGAAAAAATTTGTAGTGAGAAAGTCGCATTTTTTTCAAGAATAAAACCCTGGTCTAACAGTGACGGAATTTTTTTAGCTCGTCGAATATATTTTAAATTAGTTTTTCGTTCTTCAGCTTCAAACCAGAACCTTAAAATTCCCACTTAAGTAAAATGCAACTTTGGCGATAATGAATATTTTTAAGTCTGGGTCCCCAGCTGTCTTTTATAAAGAGCCCGCATATTATTTCAAGAAAGCCCCCAGCTTTGTCTGCTACTTGCCGCGGCCACTTGTCTCTCCTCCTTTTGCTGATTGAACGGTTGGTATAGAGTTGGTATCTTGCATATCAGCGAGCGGATTAATGTTTGTGTCATTGGGACCGATGGCCTGATTTATAATTAGACCCATCCGTTGGCTTTGCAGCCCCAGCATCGCTCGGATATCTTGTCCTGCCACCGGTGGTCTTCGGCAGCCAGCATGACATTAAAAAAAGAAAAACGTTCGGCGCATCTGCACAACACTTGCTGCTAATGGCCCCGAAGACGAGTGGATTAAATTATTATACCCCCGGTTGCCAGACAGATCTTTCGAAATTATTTTAAAGGTGCGTTTATTTGAATGCTGGACAGGAAAAATTATTTACAGCGCTCAGAGTGCCTAGTAATTGGTTGACAAACAGCAGCTAGTTAATTTTCCACTACTATGCTTGATAATTTATGTTATTTTATAATTTTTTTCAACTGATAATAAATAACGCGAATTTAGAGGGCGGATTACCATAAAATGCTCGCAAGCATCCATAAAATTCGGATGATTAGTTTTTAGATTTTATTTTTTAATTTCCAAATGAAGTTTGGATAATTTAATAATAATTAATGAACATCAAGAATAAGGCAAATTTCACATGTATTTTGCACTGGATTACTGGATATATGTTCAATCTGACTGCTTTTTTATAAATTAGCATCGTTTCGTTTGTAGGATGAAAGTGGCAATGATTATCCGTTGAAAAATTCAAGTTCAAATATATAGGTTGTGCAAAACGCAATTTTGACTCTTTTGAAATCTCATTAATTAATTCTAGAACTTTTCAATTTATTTATTTAAAAAATTGGAAAATGAGCCAAATTTTTATTTTACTTAAAAATAATTTTAATAAATTGTACAGAGCAAATTGAGGCCAATCATTATCAATTTTTTTGAATCATCATCATTAACGAGAGGTCAAAATTCCAACAGCTTGCCGTGAAATGGGATGTGCCGATCTGATTATCTCCATGATCAAATTGGCATGTGTAGTGATAGAGGTTTATTCGCCGCCGGTGGCAATCGAGTGCATATAATCGGGTTTGTGGAGCAGCGATGCGTTGGTCGGCGCGCGCTAATTGCATTCCAATCGAGCGATTTCAATCCCCCGCAGACGTCGCACGTTACACACAACGGCAAAAAATATTTGCAAAATGTGAAATCTTCGTCTGGGGGTGGAAATAGAAGTGTATATTTCTGCCTGGAGGTTATAATGTTGCATGGCTGCCGGGCCGGGGATATTATGGAATAAATTTTCTGTGTTCGCGTGCAAAGTTGGAGAAAAGTGGCAAAGTTTCGACTTCGACCCGTCGTATTCTGTTTCTATTTCCGTGAATGTCTGCTTCCATGAAACAAAAACTCTACGAAAGAAATTTTTTAACGCAGTGTTTATTCATTCAAAATAAACAAAATTTTGCATTTTGTAAAAAAAAACACAATTAGAGAAGCATTTTAATATTGTATTTCAATAGCTAAAAAATTAAATTAAAAAAAAATTACTTAACATTTTTCAAAATAAAAGCAGATATAACTTTGTGTTTTTTTATATTGATAATTGTTTTTTTTTTTTGCATGCAAATAATGTAAAATTGTGGAATTTCTTCTATATCATTTTTGAAATTAATTTCTTTGTCTTATTTTTAGAGGTTTTATTTGAAGCTTGGTTAAAATTCTTTAAAATAAGATGAAAATCAGATTTGTATTTAGCAGAGTCAAGTACATTTTCGTATAAATTTATTTAAGGAAAAATTTAATATTCTTAAGCCTTGTACATCATTTTTTAAATTTATCATTTCATATTGTTAACTTTCCTGCTGCTCTGATGGGAACGAATTAAAAAAGTATTAAATTGAAAATTGTATGCTTCACAATAAACATTCAAGAAATATATGTATTACTTTCCTCTGTGTTAGAAACGAAATTCAGCTCCTTCTACTAAATAAATCTATTTGTTCTGTGTTTATAAAGTCGCAGCGAGCGCTCAATAAAAAGCACCCTGTGGATTTCATACCAGGAATTTGTCGCCATCCAATTCAAGTCAAACTGGCTCCTGAGGCGGCGTTTTCCTGTCATGTGACAAAGCGTTCTCCATATAATGTGCAATTTCATCTGTGCTCATATGTATAAAAATCGATCAGGGGGGAAAGGCGAAAGGCCAACGAGTGCGGATGTCACTTTTGATATTCTGTTTTGATAATGACACGTCTCTCGTTGTTCTGGCACCCAAAGGACTGGTGTTATCCAAGCAATCAACCCTTCAAATAAATATCACACATTACTTTGAAATGCCATTTTCTGAAAATACCCAATGCCTTCATAATATGAATCAGATTTGTTTTTCAATAAATTATCCAGAGGTAAAAATCTATTTATTGTTATAGATTTCATTGGTCACCAGATAAAAATCCCAAAACAATTCTAAAATCACAATCAACTTTATATAAATTAATAAAATATTCATTTTTCACTTTACTATAGTTTACTTGATTTCCATTATAAAGGATTTGAAACTTTTTAAGCTGAACCAAATTTAGTTCATTATTGAGGAAATTCTAAATTATAATGAAGAGAAGTCTGGCCGGATACGCTAGCTGCAATTAATTAAGACCAACCAGATTTCTCTCTTTGATCAAACAAAAGGACGAGAATGTTGATCAAAAGTCGACTCGCCATCAATTTGACAAAACAAGTCGAAATGCGCACCGGCCCAGGTAAAAATGTGGGCCGCTCGCACTCTTTGGCATGTGACACACGCTGCCGGCGTAGAGTATTTTAATACTGAGATGAAATATGGACCATGTGTTCGCCACTCAAGAGCGGAGCACGAGATTCTAATTTTGAAGCACTGCCGCCGCAGAACGAATTGTCTTGACGCTCTCGCCTTTTGGTCGCCCAAAAGATTAATGACAACGGCCGAAGTGTACAAACACACAGGTTTTCTGCCAAATCTACATCAATAATAATTTTAATAAATTAATTAATTATAAATAGAAGATTAGGAGGATGATAAATATTACTAAAAAAATGATCAATTTGAAGACCAATTAAAAATATTCTTATAGCCAGTTTTTTTAGTAACAAAAAGAGAGGTTAAAATAATTTGGTGGGTAAAAATTGATGTGTTAATGGTAAAAATTTGTTTTTTGATAATTTAATTGAAAAAGAATCCTCATAAAAATTTATGAATTTCATTTTGCCTTTCATAAATTGATTTAATTACAAAATAGTGTTTTTTTTTCAAACCCAACAAGTACATGCATAGAGTTTTATTCACTTCACTGCAAAGTTGCTTAAACTTTAAATAATCTAATTTTTAATTGATTTTAACAAATATTTTTTAACACGTTTTAATTGCATCAGACCTCACACGTCTAGTTTTTTTGAAAACGTGGCAAGCAATTCGCATGGTGATCTCGTAAAACGTTTTCGCAATCATTTTTGATAACGAAACGCCTTATCCCTGATCACCATATCAATCTGGCATTATTATTTTCGTCTCGTGATCGCCCCTCGTTGTTATGCTCTCCGCGCTCCAATCTGCGGCGCAATCTATGAATGTTTATGTGTCGCATTATCGCGTAGGTCATTAACTGTCGGGGCACAACGTTTGACCCTTTGACGAAAGTGCACCACACTCTGATTATAAAATTATAAAAAGTATAATATAATGATGATGCATTTGTTATAATGAGAGACTTTGAACTGTACAAGTAGATAGTGTCAAGAATCAAGAATGCATCTCTGCACGCGTGTTCTCTACGCACTTATCTGTCTCCGCAGACGAATTTATTATCTGGTTTTACGTTTAAAATATAAGACACATGGACCAAAAGCATGAACGGCTTAAAATTTGTCGATTATTCGAGTACCCTTCTTCTGATAAGAGATGCAAAGATCGCGCGTGTTAATTGCGTAAATTTGATAATAATTGCGCTTAATGTTTTGTTTATTTAGATAAGATATTTCATTGAAAATTTCCCTTATTCATAATTATAGATTTAATAGAAATTGAAAATTTATTTGGTGTCCAGAAACCAAAAGTAAAAAAAAACGATTCGTAGAATATTATCTGTAGATTTAGCATCATCTAAACCTTAACCAATATATTTGACGAATTTTTGAAAAAATAAATAGCACAAATAAATTAAAATTTCATTGATTTTGTAGCCCTCTTGTTTCCATACTTTTTCTAACACTGCTCTCCAGCTTTGGATCGATGTTTAAAGTTCCGAGGGGGACTCGAGATTGGGATTTTGATGGGAATGTTCACCGTCGCGCCACTGGAGGGTGCGGCCAAATTCCCTTGCTCGCTCGTTTATACTATTCTGCATGGCGTGCGCTGCATTTTGAATTTATTTTCCCCGGCTTGCGAGTGCACTCAGTTCATGCACCCACACTAAAAGGCGACGGAAATGCTCTTTATAATCCGACCGCAAACTTAATAAAGCGCTATTATCTTAAATTATGTAGAAAATCGCCTTAAACTTGGAAGATTTTATTTTTATCTTCAGCTGCAACCAGAAGGGAAATAAAACAAAGGCTGGTTATAAGACGCGAGTCTTGATTATTTAAACCCGATGAGAATAGGCGAGAGCGAAATGAGAGCCGAGTGTAGCTACCCCAGGGGGAAATTCCAAATCAAAGTCGCAGCGCAACGGAAACAAGAGGCGTTCTCTCATTAAGCGTCCTCGGCCTCGACAGTCACTATTGCGAAAACACGACCCTTATTCTTGGTAAAAAGGGGAAAACAAGAGACGCGTCCTTATTTTTCGCTTCCTGGAATCGTGAAACAAAATATTATGCGCTACTTTATCCCTGTCTCAAAATGGTTCTCCATTATTTCTACACTCATAGTAAGCTAGAGAAAATTTTAGAGTGTGCATTACATTAAAAATATTAAAATAAAAAAAGACACGACCCATCTTTAAGTTATTAGTAGCTTTTTTATGAAATATTAAATTATAACTATAGCTATGTAGTAAATTGATGCTTTTTTAAATTGTTAACGCAAACTAATCTAACTATTAATAAACGCAATTATTATTATTAAACGAAAAAATTCAAATCATCAACATTTCCTGAAGCAAATAATTAATGCAATATAAAAATGACACTAAAAGAATCTATTTACTTGTATATTACTAAATTTGTTCAATTTTTAATGTATCCATTTTTTATTCATTTCCGTCGCTGCAGACGTGAAATGTAAAGAGAGCGTAAACATGATCAGTCGCAATTCCCCGATTTTCCCCGCCGAGTGCTTTCATCGCAAATTTCCTTTGATCCCTCGTGTCGACAGGAGCCGCCGATCGGCCGCATTGTTCCTCAACAAACCCAACAATGGCCTAAGAGCGACGTCTTTTGCTCTCCTTGTTACCATTGAGCAGCGAGTGTTATATTTTCTGGTCGCGGCGACCAAGCCTGGTCGATACCACCACCGAAGACGCTCACTCGCCTGCGGGGGTGGCTGGCAGAGAAGGGTGCACAAAATCAAACGTCTGTCGATTGCTCGCGTACCTAAACCCCTGAATAACTTGGGTACTTTGAATAATGAGCCTTTTTGGGCAGGCATACGTTTAAGAGGAAAGTTTTTTGCAGGGGTGGGGAAGTCTCGGGGTCCGCCAAACCCAAATCGCAGTTGCGGGCCGCAGCTTAAATCAATATATCTGCAGCTGTGTGTTGGAACCACGTTTTGTGCGTGATCGAGTTTAGTACTATCGGCCGGTCTATCCTATACCGCAAGTAGAATGCACTAATGCACCCCTTGCTATGGGTTATCTCGGCGCGGTCACGGTTCGTCCGATTTGTGCATTTTTAATGATCTCACAGTGGAGAAATAATGCGATGTTCTTTACTGATAGGCGTATAATTTATTTATTAGTTGAGAACACGTGAGAGAAGGGTGAATATTTGACTTTTTACTTCAGAAAAGTTTTATGACGAATTAAAATTAATGAACACCTGCCAATCGTTGATCAGTTTGTTGTGTTAACGACCGTGATGATAATTTGATAGTGGCAGCTGCTGACTTTCTTTACTAAAGAAAAATTACGATTTTAATATAAATTATTTAAAGCCGTTAAAAAAATAATTTATTCAGAAAATTTGCACAAATTTGAGTTAAAACTGAATTTTAAAAGTGCAAGACGCATAATTTGATTAAATAATAAAAATATGGTTAGCTGTATTTGGGAAAAAATATTTAAAGCGAAAATAATAACTCTTACATATAACGATAAGAGCATAGCATTAATTAAATATTGGTATCGCTAAATAAATTAATTTAAAAAACGTTAAATACTTCACAGATAAATAGCTTAAGTAATTTTACTTATCTGCTTAAGCTTTTACTGCAAAACTGTTTTTTTCCTACTCAATTTCAAAAGCTCTCAAGCCTTTCATTCCCTCCGCTACAGGCAAATGCGTCGCACACCAAAAGAGGAATCATGGCAATTGTTAAAGTTTTTATTACATGCACTTTAGAGCCTTTGACTGCGAGTATCGATTGCAATCGCACACACACCCCGCTTGTGAAGCACTCGTCTTTAAGGGTGGCTGCCTCAGCACTCGAAAAGTAAACCCCAGCAGATTGCATAGACACCCTTTACTAATACGAGTAAAAAAAACTATCTCATTTCATTCACGAAGTCGCTGGTGAGCAAAATCTCCTCTTGAATGGACTTTGCAGAAGCTGCATGAATAATATATCGTTTAACTCTTGAGACACCGCGATATTGAAGTCCGTCGGATTGATTTAAACTTTATCGATTCATCTCGCGTCGTCCGGTCTCTCGCTTGTAAACAGAGGCAGATTAGTCGACCGTGATTTATGGTTTTTGCAGCGCTCAGCAAGTAAAGGAAGGGTTTGCGCGGCGCAGAGAGCGGTGGCAAGGGTCACCCAAGTTGCTTCACGCGTGTTTAATTATATACATGTGATAACAATCATGATCACAAAGCATTATTTTATGGGATATAAATAGTGTTTGCGTATAATTATATTTAAATTTTAGGAAGAAATATAAAAATCCGACTTTTTTTCTAGAAAAGAGTAGATATTACGTAACTTTTAAAGTTTTGTGCGATTGCAAAAGTTAGCCATACCTAAATTGTTATTTGTTTATACTATAATAAACAATTTATTCAGACATTCAAATGATACACACAAATCAATATTGTGTATGAATTTTAATTGCATTTTTAACAATTATTTTTATTACTATTTCTGAAAATTGTTGTTTATGTCTGTATTTATTTTTTTCTAAAAGTAACAAATTTATAGACTTTGTTCCACATAGTAATATTAGCTACTTATTAATTTAACTATAAAAATCGTCAACTCGACTGAAAAATGTTTTTTAAATTTACCATACCATCATCAGTACATAGATTATTTTAATTATCATACAAATTACAAATATTATTCATTCAGATTTGGCATAAAATGATTATTTTTAACCAAAAATTATTATTTATGGTATAATTTTACTTACAATTCTCGATTTTTTTGGCCTCTTTCCTTTTTGGTTGTTCTCCAGGATAAAGATTTGTAAGCGACCTTCTTCAGGGTAGTCGGTGCGCGTCGCTCGTTTGGGGAAAGATGAGTCACAGCCAGAGGGTAAGGCGATGGAACTGTAGTTGCGGCACGCGGCCACGACCGACTGACTGCCTGCCGGTGGCTGGATGACCTTTTGCCGGCTCTCTTATCTATCCGTATCCATGCAGGGCCAAGTAGTTGGCCTGCGCGCCACCACAGCGCTGCCCCGCAAAACACGAGGGTGATCCGCACACATGTGCCAAATGCAAATTAGGGGTGGGTTTTCGGTGATTCTCGCTTATACAACAGCGCTCTCACGTTTCTTTATTTTCACACCCTAGCAAAAATAACAACAAGAATAATCCTGAATTAACAGTCAATAGTCAAAAGTAACAGGATCACTATGGAGATATTAAAAAATCCTCACATTATTATTTCTTTGTGGAACTGAATTATTATGTTCTATGAAAAATGGGAAATTTTTATTTTTATATTTAAAAAAAACTTATTTTAATAGAATTTAAGATTTTTCTAAGCGTTCTCCCAAAAGTGATCATTTCTTAAAAATATAATACAGGGTAACACATAATTATTTGTTTGGATGGCAAAAGACTTATAATTCTTGTCAAAAATGTTTTCGATTTTATTAATTTTCCAATTCTACTATACTTGGCTAACAAAATTTTTGTTTTTAATACTGCTTTCAAGATCGAAAAAATTCTTCTTACAATTCAGCCAGCAAGTTCAGGCAAATTATAAGTATTTTGGTAGGATAATCAATGAGGTTGTACAGTTAATTTTTCTTCTAAGGCCAATAATTCCCAGTTATTACCAGAGCTCAAGTTTAATTTGCATTTTTTGCTATCGGCTGAAATAATAGCAGAGTTCAAATTCAAAATTAATGTGCATTTAAGTTAAGTCAAGTTTTGCACATCAAAAACAAAATAATATAAGTAATTGAGCCTATAAAAACGAGGCCATTGAGCGGCAGAAAACAAGCCATTTGGGCTAAAGCGCTTAATTATATGTCTCAGCCCTGTGGTAATAAAGGGATGTGCACAACTCAGACTAGACATAAAATGTATGTAAGTGTAGTAGTTTTAAGTCTTCTCTCATCACCAAAAAACAATCAACTACGGAGAAGCCTCACAAAAGTGGCCCTCAACTCCAATCAATCAATCAATTGAACTGCAAAAAAAACCCTCCTGAAACAGCTCGTAGAGGAACATTCAATGGGAGGGAATCTTTTTTCATCGGGTATCTCACTTTTTAAGGAAACATTTTGATACAAGATGTTTCACCTAGTGTTTTTCAAGCACACTTGATGAGCAGCTGATTTTGCAGATGCATCAATAAGTGCTGATATCAATGTTACATATTTTGGTATTATTCTAGTTTTAGGAGATGCTAGGGTTAGTATTTATTTGATAAATTACTTTGGTTTTGGAATCATAGGTAATAAAACTGGTGGTGGTAGAGAGGCTCCATAGGTTCCTCTACGTCTGGCAATGTGAGTGAAAAGGGTAGGAACGACTTCAAGGATGTTTCCTCTTTAACGTCTGCTGGAACTACAATTTCCTCCTCACGCCTCTTTTGCTCCTCCTCTTCCTGTCTTAACCGTTTTTCCTCTTCAAACCGCTTTTCCATCAAAACAACAGCCGCTCTTCTCAACTTAGTTAAATAATCTGGCAGAGCTGAAATTTAAAGTAAAATCAGGATATTTCCTCTTTCAATACTAAAAGTATCTTTCCATTACCACTCATGGCAACCCAAGACACAAAAGCTGACGGAATAGAAAGTCCGGGATTGTCAAAATAGGTCAGGCTGAACTCAACGCCGGGCTTGTCCATATCGCCTTGGGTTGGCTTGATCACCCAGTACGACCAATACTCGTCCACTCGGTGGCAATTTTTTTGCAATGGACACTTTGGGTGGGCAGTGCTCTCAGCTCGGATGACAATATCCCCATTCAACTCATCGACTAAGGCGCGTCGCTTAAAGACGTAGTCACGGTTGGAAAAAAAGCGCTAATAATTTCAGATTAAGCAATTTTTTAAACAATTAAACCATTTTGACATTACTGGCCATGCTGCTTCCCAGTACAGGACATCACTGCCTGATTTTGGGTCAGAGTCAATAACATCTAACTGTATTGCTGTAGCATCCCATTCTCTAATTTAAAAAAAAAAATATTTATTAAGATTTAATTGTGAGAAAATTTATCTTGCTGCTTACTTTCTGTAATTGTTATCGAGCTGAACAGCCAAAAAATCACGAGCAGCAACATCTGAATAAACTCCATACACTGAAAATAAGGATTGAATATGAATTTTGATTTTGATTTTTAATATTACCTTTGTAAGCAAACAATCCTTTGTGTTCCTTATGCTCCTGTTTCCAAACTATGAAGTCTTCTCGTTCGATGAATGGAATCCATTCTTCGTCTGAAGTATTTTAACTTCAGATAATTACTCATCTCAAGTTATTAGTGTGAATTTTACCTGATGAAAGAGTGGATTCCCAGTCTTCGAGAACAGCTTTGGAGGATGCAGTATTTTTAATACAGCGGCAGTACTCAACGTGGGGTAATTTAAGGTCGATTAACAGGCGGTGTCCACACTTCTCACATGTCACTGTGGTCGACTTCAGTTTGTTCACGAACTCCAGCTCGCTCTGGTGCCTAAAGATAAAAAGATTATGGTAGATTGATTGACATTCGGTTAATTGATTTCTAACCGAAGTAGAACCTCATCTGGAATTTTCTCTTTCTCCCAGTCAAAAACAGCAGCAAGACAAGTGGCAAGCAAAGCGTTTTTGCTTCTTCTGGAAAAACTTTTTATAACCAGCTCAGCTGCTTTTGCTTCCCACATTTGCGAGTAGAGAGAAATTATCTGTTGCCCTCGTCTCAGTCTACAAAGAGAATCGTTAAAAATTCTAACCCACCTGTTAAACAAAATTATACCTTTGGGCCATTATATATTCAACTTGTTTTGCCCAGATGCCGGCCAAAACCACAGACTTCTCTTTAAAAGTTCTGCTCAAAATTTGTAATCCAAGTTTCCTCACTTCTTCCAATTTCAAACAAGTCCTAAGTGAAGACAACAGTTCCAAGCGACAGGCAGCACAGCAGAAAATGTTGAAACCTGAGGAAATTAAATTTAATTAGACGGCTAATTAGCAATTTCCTGGAAGAGAACTTGCGTTTGAAATTGCAGGTCTGTTCGCCGAGTTGCTGAGCCGTGGTGATGATGGCCTTTTGTGGGCCGCTCTTCGGCCGCACCATCATGCTCTGGAACTTGACGAACGCTTTTGTCAGTCCAACAGGCAACATTTTACTCAAGTTATTGAGTAGTCAATCCATTTTTGCACTAGACCGCAGCGGCCTAATCACAAAAATTCACATTTCCGATTTCCGACCTTCTGGTGCGGTGCAATGTGATGGTTTGGTTAGTGCGCAACTCCGCCGTCGTTTGTCCAGGGAGTGCGGGAAGTACGGTGTCGCCTGAAACTTATGCAACCGTTTCAAGAATTTTCTCAGATTTTCAAGTTCCTGGGATATTTTAAATGGAGATTAATATAATTTTTGATGACATTCGTTTTCCTCATCTCTAATTATTGAATAGCAGTATCTATATATGGCAAATTATAAAGGAAATAAAATTATTTTGCACCACTTTTTTCATTTCCCGCCATTATTGAGAATATTTTTGTACCCATCTGGAGACACACCCCTCTTCTGATTGGCCAATCACTTCAGCGAGCCCCTTTCCATCTTCGGCCCAGCCCACTTCTTCATTCTCTCGAAGCCTCCATTGCCTCCTGTGTTGTTTTCACGAACATTTTCGCAGTGGAGCCCGGAAATGTATTGATTGCGCCCAAATTTCAAGGCCGAATCAGCCGATGGACCATTCCGACTTATCTTAAGCAGGTAATTAGGCTACAAATTCAATTTTGGTTGGTTTAAAAGCGGCACTTTTCCATTCTAAAAATAGTAAATACGAGGACCAATTGCGGTCGGCAAGGATTTGTCGTGCTCGAACTTTCAAAGATATGGGTCTGGTTATTTTGGCGTTCGGTTACGCGAGAATGTGGGTCGCAAACTTTGATTTTTCGATCACCTTTATCACTAGTGAACGTCAATCGGTCTCTTTTGCGTCCATCTATGCGTTTAAAGACACGTTTCAGCAACATTAACTGATAAGATAAAAATCCTAGAGCCTACAAGGTATAACACAATAGCACGCTTTATACATAACACGGTTCAAAGTTTGCATTTAAAATTGTATTTTTTCCGCCTCGCATTTGACGTGTAATTTTAATTTCTAATTTTCCTGCCGTTCCAGGGTGCTCGAAGGAGGTCAGCATGAAGTTTTTTGAGGCGAAAACCGTTTTCAACTACTCGTGGGACCAGGTGGCCGAGGGCTTCTGGCAGCGCTACCCCAATCCCTTCAGCACCCACGTTCTCTCCGAGGACACCGTCTTCCGGCAAGTGGACACCAGCGGCCGTCTCAAGTCGCTGAGGTTGCTGACCAAGACGAACTTGCCGCCTAAGTGGGGCGAGCATGTCGTCTCGAACCGGACAGTCAAGATAATAGAGGAATCGATTGTGGACCCGAAAAGCAAAACTCTGACCACCTACACCAGAAACATTGGCTACACAAAAGTCATGGTAAGAGGACGGTCAAAGTTAAGAGGGGATTAGCCTTTTTGAAGGTCTATACGGCTTTACATAACACGAGGAAGCCTTTCTGATGGCTGACATTTATATTCTTGCATAACCAATTATGCCAATTATTTCTTTTAATTTTTCAAATATTTCCATCAGGAAACTATCAGCTTATTGAGAAATTTAAAATTTTTGCCATAAATTTCACATTTTTTTAAAATTTTATCAATTTATTTTCAGAGCATAACTGAGAAAGTGGTTTACAAACAAAGTAAAGAAAACCCAGCGCAGACCGTGGCTGAGCGTTCAGCTTGGATTGACTCGCAGCTATATGGCCTGAGCCGACCTATTCAAGCCTTCGGCCTTGATCGTTTCAAGAAAAACTGTGTCAAAGCGGAAAAGGGATACCAAATTGTGCTAAACACCATGTTCCCTGGACACGAATTGCCGGCCCTGCTGCAGACCCAGAAGCCCTCAGTCCTTGCAGAACAGAAGGAAAAGCTGAAAGAGTCGGCCAAGAGGGCCACCGAGTTGGCCAAAGCTAAGGCGCGGCCGGTTGTAGCCGCCTGTCAGCCCGAAGTTGAGTAAATGAGTAGAGGTGTAGACTTAAAAGCTGACGAGAGTAAACAAATTGAACAATTTTGTATGTCTAGAGGACAAGAAACAATAATTTCGTGCACAGATGCACTTCCTAAATTACTCATACTCAGTGATTAGAGGTGAAACTAAATTTTTTTATATAGGTACCATGAATTAAAGTCTCGATTGCGCATCTACACGTTTTAGTTGGGGTTGGGAACTATACTTTCGTTGCTTATCATTGCCACGCTATATTGTGATTGATCATACTTTTCTCTTTTAATCTATTGTTAGTGATCATGCTAGAAATTCCCTACTCTTGAGTCTTATTCCAGGCTTGGGCACATTCGCTAAAGTAACAGAAAGCTAATAAATTTACAATAAAATAATGAGTCTGTTGCTTTTGTAGCATTTTGTGTAAAAGTTCTAACACTTGGATCAATGATAAATAAACTCTAAGAGCTTTTATCAAATACTTGTATTTTATCTTTCTATCTCTTGCCTCGATCGTCACTTTGGCATCCAAAGCAGCCTATAAAATTTTAAAGGTGTGGAAATGATGGCTCAGCTCTGATCTCTTAGATTAAGTAATTTTAATCTTTTTGCTCATTGTTTACAATTCCAACTTTTAAAAATTTGCAAAGGTATGAAGCTTACATTATACAATAAATTAATCTTTTCTTCCATTTACACACATTTAAGTGTACGCTCAGATATTAAAATGGTATGGAAAATGCCTTGGTTATAATTTATAAATCTACTGCTAGTTAAATTGAATAAGGCAAAAAATGAGGTGTTACTGGCTTTGATAAAAATATCAGTTCAATTTACACCCCATTTGTGGGTCAAATTGTGCGTAAAGTACAACATCAAGTCTTACTATTGCTTTTAATTTGATAAGAACAAAACATCAACTCGCAGTGCACCTTAAAAAATATTTCTTGAATTTAAAGAAAATGAGTATTATGATGAGGTGATTGCATACAATAATTTACAATAAAAAGGCTTGAATCTTTGGTAAGTCTAGGATGCAGTTAGTTGTTACTGCATGATGGCTTGTTGTCTGCTGCCTTGTCTTGAACGCAAGTCTTCATCGCTCGAAGCTTCCGAGCCGTCTTCTTCTTCTCTCGGTCGACTCCATTTAATCAGGGTTGAAGGAGAGCGGAAGAGGAAGATTAATTTTGCTGCCAGGGCCTCTTCGAGACTAAGCTCTCCCGACTCTCGCACCAAATAAATATCCAGACACAGCTAAAAGAGGCAATATTGTGAAGACACTTTATTTTAAACAAATTTTTCTCACCTGAAGAATTCTGTCCACATCTGGAAGATCATCAAACATGATTGTGAAACAAACTCCAGAGAAGAACCCTCTCATGAATTTTGAGGCCACCAACACCAACGTAGTGTATAATCCAATTATACTGATAAAATTTTATAATTATTCTTTTATTTATTTTTTCAATTTTTCGCTACATACCCGCCTCCCGAGAAAAAGCTGAGGCCTGCTGGGAAAGCTTTGTCATTGAAAGTGTACATCTGAAGGGACTTGCAGCGGTCATTCAAAGGCAAATGCGACAGTAAATCTTTGTACTCCTCGTCAGTGCAACTCTCTCCAACCTCCCACCAATGCTCTCTGTTCTCATCGTCCCGATCTAACGTCAACAGCAGATCCCGGAACGTTTCTTCTGTGCTTTCTACAATTTTTAAAAAGCAAATTATTTAAGTAAAATTCCAAATGAGGAGTTATAGTTGCCTCTTTTCTTCATAAGCTGGGTGACTACTGTGGCTTTGCCTCTGTTCGAAACTTTGATGAACTTGGGAAAGAGATTCTGCAGTCGCAACGGTTTAAGTAACGAACCATTGTAAGAATCATTGAGCATATTGGCTAGAGTCAGCCGCTCAGGATTTCTCTCTCCGTTAGGAAGGGTTGCCATTAAGAAGTTGGTCTGCGTCTCTGTTACGACTGGGACAGTACTGGGATTGTCCGAGTGCCTGGACACCATCCAAGAGAATTTTACCAGAAGAGGTTCATCTAAATAATATATTGTAGTCTGACAAATAATATTTGAGTAGTTTATTTAAAACCTGAGAGAACGTAAGCCATCATCTTTTTCTGCGCCTGTTCTGATATCGTCCACACTGACATAGAGAAATTATCAATTTTCGCAACCTGGACGTCCGACCAGTCGTAGTTTGAAAGGAAAGTTTGTGCTGCCCTGTCTCTCTTGTAAACATTGCTCAGAGCTTCCCAATTACCTTCAGAAAATCTTAAAAAGGGGATAGTTTAAATAAAAATGCTAAGAAAAGAGTGGAGCTTACGGAATAAGGGAGCTGTTCTGAGCCGAAGTTCTGAAAACTGGTTGGTAGGGGCCAATTGTCAGTTCGACGGACACATCGTAAGGTAGATTTGGTTGGCCCACAGTGTTTCCAAGGGCAAACAGAACCATTGGGAACCATATGATGAAAATCACCACAAGAAGAGAGCAGCCACCAACAACATACTTGATAAGGGGCCTTTGCTCTTCGCCCGGGGGTCGAGGATAGGCAGCTTCGGCCCGTCTTTGGCACTGAAATAAAAAAAAATGAAAGAAATTAAAAAAAAAATTTGAATTTAATACTTTTAATTGAAATATGTGTGCAAATATATCCTCCATTTTTATCCACTCGCCCAGGGTCATGCTCGTCTTGGTCCACATCCAGTCCATGAGAGTTCGGAGCTCAAATAGGAATGGAACAGCCATGAACCTAATATTTATGATTTATTAAAAAAAAACTATGGAGATATAAAAAAAATACCCTTTGAAGAGGAACATGTTGAGGTAGTTGTATTTCTTGCATAGGAAGTTGCCCAGAATCCTCGTTGGGTAGCCACAGCGAATTTGATAGGCTGACAACAACAAGTAAAGGCACTTGACCAAGTACCAGATTTGAGGGGGCAAAGCACCACTGAATGGCCTGTAAAATTAATAAGAATTAAAATTATATGTCCTGATAATTAAAGAAAGATGTGCTTGCCTCTCAGTGAGTCCAGGCAGAAGGAAAAACATCCAAAGGTGGACACCAAATACCAATCCGACTTGGAACATAATCTTGCCGAGAATAAATTTGCGCAAGAAAAGAGCTCTGTCAACCACCATCAAAGCAAACTGGAGGATCAACATAACTAAGAAGGCAACAGGAACCTTGTTTTCCTCTAAGTAGGCCGAAACACCACCATCTCCTTGCTGAGTCTGAATAAAAAAATAATTAATTTTTTAAATAAAAAGTTTTTTTCTTCCAATTTCACAAACTTACTCCAAAGGAAGCAAATCCAAAAATGACGACCATAAAATTGAAGAAGTCACACATGAACATGAAAGCATAGACGTCAGCTGTCACTCTACTGCTTGGCTCCAGTAGGGTTGAGAAGAAGCTAGAAATGCTTGAGAAGAGCCTTGATGGCCTGTAAAAATCAGTTGAAAAGTTTTAAAGTCAAAACCAAAGTTATAAATTTTTTAGTTAATTACACTTGAATCAAAGGAGCTGGTAGGTTAGCAGCCGTCTGTTTGACCTTGTTGGTCAATGCTGTGCCGCAGCCCTCTATAGGCGCTGAAGACATCTCGCTTATATCCTCGTCATTCTCCTTACTTGATGACTTGTCTGACGGCTCAGGCGACTTTGTCCGCACTGTGGGGCTGCTAGCAGTATCAACAGTGGGCTCTCCAATGTCGTAGAGCTTTGATTCGTCACAATCTCCCCACAGGCCGAGTGACTTGAGCATGAAGCGATGGAAAAAGACGACCAGTAAGAGCATCAGGTCGAACAAGGCATACATCTCCTTGCGTTCCACTCCAGTGATTCGGGGACCCCAGAAGGGCTGGTTGTAAGGTATGGCCTGCTGGTTCCACGGCAGGTACTCAAACTGGCACAGGTACTTGGCAATCACCACCATCTAAATTACATTCAAGTAACTTTTTATTTGAAAGGTCAATAATATTGCAAATTCAATGCAAGATTGATTTTAAATTTAAATTGTTTGGACCTCTGTGTATCCGATGATGGTGACCCAGAAGAACTTCGATGGTCGGGGGACTGACAGTGAACCCCAGAGGAATACCATAAGTGGCAGTGGCAAGGAGAGGATGGAGGCTGACTTGACTTGATGCAGAAAGACCATCCCATAGCACACAAGCTCTGAATGGGCCAGGACGGCAAACCAGAGTGCGTGGAATAGGCCTGTAGTCAATGAGATGGGTTCTCCGTCTTTTTGAAAGGCTGTTCCGCGTCCATCAATGTCCGAAATTGATATCGGGCTGAGAAATTACAAAAAAAATTATTAGTTTCATTTGTTTGCTGAGAAGTCACACCAGTAGTTGTTTTGGTTATTTACAAACTGTGATTTTTCAATATTTTTACAAAGTTTTACTATACAAGAGAGATTATATAGTGAAATAATATATAGTGGCATAATAATATTAAATTCCCTTTTCATGGATAGCCAGGAAGTTTGAGCAAGAATAATTTAATTATATTTTAGATGAATTAAAGAAGCTCTTCGATATTTCTGTGAAAATATTATGCAGCCATATATTTTTTGTAAGTGCTATTCAAGAAAATCAGCACCATGTTGGTTTTTTTAACTTTGTAGAAAATCAAAGCTGAAAACGCAAAGAGCCTGTTTATTTACAGAATATAAAGAAGTTTTTTAAGAGTATTACCAGACAGTCGAAGTAGAGTTGTCCAGCACACGCAAAGAGACGAGAGACAGAGCAAGAGTAAAAATGACACACGAAATATGTGCAGAGAAATTTTACTGCGTAAAGGTGAAAAGCATGCAAAGAAAAGACGCCACAAACTCCATTCTCTTCATTTTTACCTGTCAGCCCTGTCCGAGTCAAGACCTCGCTCGAGACTAGCAGCCCAAATTTTAATAGTCGGAATGGGTATTTTCTCCTCGCTCCTGATCAGATGGAACAATGAACCAAACTCATATTAACCCATGCACCAAAACATACAAAAAATACTGCACAACATTTTGAAGCACTTCTAAAATACTGAAGCAACTAGCAACTTTTTATTTGAGGTTAAACCAAATTTATAATAAATGAAATAAATAATAGTGTTACTAAACGCCAATGTTAATTTTATTCAGTTTTACTGTTATTTTTCTAGAATTTTAATCAGTTGATATAATAAAAAACTGAAGAGAAAGATTTACATAGAAAATTTTACACCGTACAACATAATCTAAGTGCACTAGTAAGCTCCGTAGCGCTCACCTCTGATCAGCATTAATAGCTTGTTGCTGTATTTCACCTTGGTCTACGTTCAAAGTGGCCTCGTCACTTGCACCCACAATTCTGATCTCCAAACCAGCAGCGCTTCTGCATGCACACCCCACCAATTCAGTTAATTCCATAATACATTGTTGGTTAATTAAATTTTTCACAGCATTAGAATCTCCATTTTCATAAGCCCCAATAAAATTATTTTTGAGGGTTCAAAAACTCACCCTTCCACTTTTTCGGGCAGAGTCACAGCCAAAGGTCTCCACATCCCCTGACCAACTCTGGTACCCAGTCTGTAGTCTCCCTGTTCCTAAAATATGCAAGTTTAGTTATTCAAATTTAAAGTTTTCTTTTAAACCAACTTTGAGTGAAAGAGTTTCTGCTGCTAAGCATTGGGCCACATAGCGATAATCTCTGGAGAGTTTATTGAGCTTTTTGGTGGCACTCACGACACCACTCTGGAGCAGGGCCCACAAGAACTTCATGTACACCCACAATTTGCTTGCCCAACTATCCTCCTCTGAAATAATATAGACATTAGAAGTTTCGTTAAAAATTGCTCAATCAAGCGCACTTGAGGCGGAATCAGCTCCTCCTGCTTGTCCAGCAGCTCCTCCTGATCCACCTGGAGGAGGTGGTGGTGGTGACGGGGATCCCGGCTCTTCGTCCTCGTTCAAGGGAGGAATTCGAGATGACTGGAAACTCGATCTGGCGCTCACACTTGTTGAGGGCTGAGCCTTTATGGAATGATTTTAAATTTTTTTCATATTATGATAGGGAGAAGAAAAATTATATTTTACCGTAAAATTTTAACAATTTACAATTACCAGTTCTGATTTTCCTGACAAGTATGAGACGGTACTCCTCTTCCTCCTTCTAGGTTTTGGCGTTGGCTCGTCGGCCATTGGAATGGGAGAGTCCTGCAAGTTGGCCACAAGGGCCTGATCGGCAGCCGTCTCGATGTCCGTCTTCAGAGCAGTGCTGAGCAACTGTGGACGAAGAGACGAGGTGTGGGATGATGAGGGGAGTTTGCGAATGCGGCAGCGGTTACAGTGCAGGTAAGGAGAGGCGATCAGCACGTAAGGGTACACAGGGTACTTGAGAGGCGGAATATTGTACAAGCAAAATGGCATGCGTGTGAAGAATATAAATATTGTGATGAAAAAAATAAAGAATTCCAGATAAAATTTGGTGAATTATTCAAGAGAAAAGAAGCGATTTGTGAGAGGTACAGGAGGGAATGTGAAAGAAAAGCCGCTTGATTACAGTCTGTACAAAAGTTAAGAATATGGATTTGTTTAAAAATGACGTTAAAACGTCCCAAGGTACCAAAGAAGGATAGAAAAATTGAAGTACAAACATCAGAAGAAAATTCCTAGAAATTTGTATTTACAGTTTACTGATCCACTTTTGGAGTAGCTGATTGCGAGTAGAAAAGTGATAGTTTTTATTATACATAGGTAAGAAATAAGTAGTAAATTCATTTTAATTGTGAAAAGTTTGCTAAGATAGCCGTCACCTCTGGATTGGCAAGCGCAATTTTAATTACAGAACACTGTCCGTCGACCAAGAATAAATGTTAGTTACAAAAACACACAAAATTCATCTATGAGTAAATTTCTATAAAGCCAATTTACACTTTATAATTTTTTAGCGGCAAATATTCCTTTCTTAAAATAATTAATTTTCTAGAGCAAAAAATATACCTTGCTGACGGTGACTTTGCTTTCGTCTCCTTCTTCATCCACATCCTCTACCGTTGCTCTTGCTGGATCGAGGCTCAGGTCAAGAAGATCGTCATCAAAGTCTTCAAACATATAATAGTCACCAGAGCGGATTGCTGCAAAAAGATAGGAAATTTTAGAATTTTTGTTAGATGTTCCTTTTTTTAAACAACGACAATATTAAAAAGCTAGATAGATGGACTTGAAGAAGTGTATGGACATTAGCTTAAATTTAGCAGAACAATCTGCAAAACTATCTTGGTACAGATACTACAGATATAGTACGCTTTTATACAAAGGTTCAAAGCGGAGTGTATTCGCTTATCACCAGCACCATGAAGGCAATTTTACAGCTTGACGATATTTGGCAGTCCACCTGGCGCAGTGTTACAATTTAGCTGAAGGTAGAAAAGGATCGCTTTTTAATATTATATTGCACAGAAGAAATAAAATTTGTTAAATAAAATCTACTCCCAACAAAACATGCATAATCAGTTTGACAATTATAAGGACGAAAGACAATAATTCAAATTTACTAGTAGAAGCGTTATAACGATCCTGTTAATATACGGCTGGGAGATTTTGCGACATTAAAAAATTGGGAAAAATCACACCTTTCACTTTTCTTGAGGGACGTCGCTTTATTTTCCCCTGATGCATTTTGTCTAACAGAAAAATACAAACAAAGAAACTCAAAATAGGAATGGAAAACAAAACATGCATAAAAAGTTTGAAATATGTTTACAAAAATTTGCATCAAGATAAAATAAGGATCGGCGAAAAAATATTATTTACACAGAAAAATTCCTTAAAATAAACTTTAAAATATTATTCACAAAAATCAGGAAAATTCAAATTGGATAAAATAATAAGAAGCTATTTATTATACATAAATAATAAATTTCAATAATTAAGACGCATATACATCATATGCAGACGAACTTGAGAATCTAACATCAAACGGTGACTTGAATTTGTACAGTGTGGTTGTCCATCCAATATTGGCCAGAGAAGGTACATTACACGTATGGTGAGACCGAGCAGGGGAGACGGGTGTGGAAATTCTCCTCTCCGGAGGTTGCCAAGGTGGCACTTGCGGAATAGGCGGCGGAATCATGGCAGACGATCTTCGCCTCCGGGCAAAACTTCGCCGGTTGAAGGGGTGACTCAGACTTCTGCGGTGACCTTTGCGGCGGTAGACAGCCTCTTCGTAAGGTGGAGGAGAAAAAACTGGAAAAGACTCCTCCTCGTCCGAAGCTATGTGTCTGTGTGATTCTGAGTGAGGCGGCGATCCGATTGAGATTCGGCCGGGCTCCATGTAGCCATCGAGGGAAATTGTGTAGATGCCAGAGGTCGGGGTGGGTGCATTATTTGCAGTCAGGAGTTGTGAGAGGCGCTGAGGTGTCAGTGAGGGTTGATCGTCATCATCATCCACAGGCGTGTGGTAACCCTGAGGAGTGTGTGGGGACGAAAGTCCCGAGTGGGATTCCATGATTTCCAGAGGAGCAACAGGCTCGTCAAATACAGGAGGCTGATCTGCTACTGTTTTTTGTTCGAAGATTAAAGAGATGAAGAAACAATACATTTTGGCATTTCATTTCCGTGAATAAATTTGACAGGGAATATTATAGAACACATAATTATGTTGAAACTTAAAATTAAAATAATACCCAATATTCTGAAAATAAATTATCTACAAATCATAATGTGATCAAAGCAAAAAGCTTTTTGATCATGGGTTTGTACAAAACTCAAACAAATTGCCAACAATGAGCGCTGGAAAATTCAATCCTACCTCTTTGATGGGACTGCGGCTCTCTGAAATTCTCTCCTTGCATCTTTCGCTGGTTTTCTTTGATCCTTTCCATCTTGGTCCTGATTTTATCCAACACTCGCTGTTCCTCCTCTTTTTGAGCAGCAACCCGCTTTCTCCTCAGCTGCTCAATCAGCTCAGCACCTCTGAATAAATTTCGATAAACATTTTGAGCTAAAAATAACCTCGAATTTGAACCTTGATGCTAAAATAGTTTGTGCCTTAGCTTCGTCCACAATCCTTGCAAAGTAGAAGCTTGAGAAAAGCCTCCTCTGCATCAACAAGAATCCAAAACAGACACCATCCCACACTAGGCCAGTTTGATCGGAGGAGACGGTGCACTCTCCAGAATCTGTAACGCTTGCTCTTTGGGACTCACTGCCAAATTTGCTTAGGCAGGTGATGCTCAGAAGCTGAACAAGCCAGCAGGTGTGTGTCTGAAGTTCCCCAACAAACAAGCAGCCGAGCATTTGCGTGAAGGCTTTCAAGCCAATAACAGCAACGTTGTAGCTGAGTAAGATGTTCCACCAGTAGAGAATCTTTCTGACAGGCAGCAAGTAAAGGTCGTTTCCGTGGTGCAGGAAGAAGAAAGCGCCAACCAAATATCCCAAAGAAAATAAATTGTTTCGATTGACGCCGGTTACGAGGACCATAATTAAAGTGAACCAGTAAAAGTGCCTCAGGACTCCTCTTTTTATATTGTCCAACCAAGACCTAAAATTTAAAAAAATGAAATGCATTGACTTGTAATTATTTTGCAAAAATTATCTCACTTAGTGTATGTGATAAAATCTGGTACAGGATTGTCTTGCAAATCGTCGAGTTGGTCAAAAACTTCGGCATTGCTTCCTCCAGCAAATGTTGTCGAGTCTGCCGCTTTCTCTACCCTAAAAACTATTTGTTGTCTGCAAATGAGCAGCAATACAACAAAATCGCCTTGAATAAATCAAGATATATTAATTTACTGTAAGCAATCAGTCTTCTCATATTTACATATCAGTTTCTGGCATTCTGGAGGGTGGACATAGTCCGACATAAAGAGCCAAATCTGCAGTCGTCGAAGTGTTTCACTTTTGTCCCAAGGCCAATCTAAAAAATTTAATCAAGGAAATATGCCGGATGAAATAAAGTGACTTTGAGTGGAAAGAACTCAATAAGCGGGGCTTAAAGACACCTTTCTTTCCCGCACTTTCCTGGAAAATCTTGTGTGTAGGGGAGTAATAAATTGGGGAAATAATTTAAGTGCAGATGTGACGTCCAAAAGGACACTGCGAGCTAGCGTGAAAAATATTCGCATTACCATTAATAAGCCTATAAATCCGGACGATTGATGCACCGTCTCTGAGGCATTCTCTGATCTCCATATACGTGCAAGGCGTTCCGAGACGGCGCTAGACGGTACATCCATCAGCAGGAATTAAAGAAGTAAAGGTGATGCGAATATTTTTCACGCAGGCTCAAATATTTCCCCAATTGATTATTCGCTTACACACATGATTTTCAGGGAAAGCAAGGTGTCTTTAAGCCCCGTTTATTGAGTTCTTTCACTTCATTTCATCTGGCATATTTCTTTTAAGAAGCTCATTTCTAAATTTTAAATATTGAAATTACCAATGCAGAGTCCTGGTGGCAAGCCAACACACAAGAAATATTGTAGTGGCGTAAGAACGCAGACAAAAATAATGAGCCACCTCCAGACAAGGCTCAACTTCAATCTTGGTCGTTTGAATAGAAAAGCTAGCCAAATTGAGTATATGATAGAATACATGTCTAGTCTGGTGCCAATTAAAATAACCAAAGTCATAAGGCAAATCTGTAAAATAAACAAATTACAAGTGTCATTGTACGGCTCGAAAAAAGCATTTGCTAACCTCAACACCAAACTTATAAAAGCCATAATTGAGGAGGTACTTGATACAGGTAATGATTCCCTCGTCAGCATTGGCTCTGGTCACACCATTAAAAAGAACAGGAATAGGAGTGAAGGCAGTGGAAGATGTGTCTCTCGAAGTTGGGGACGAAGGTGGGTCTGCGGACATGGTTGAGCGCCGTTGATACTGCTGGCGAGTTCTCACCACTGCTTGAAAGGTGAAAACCAAAACCAAACCTACAGATTGAAGATCAGTAAAAATAATCTGAAACAACATTTTTAATTACCGATATAGCCTTTGAGAAGTTCTGGTAGATCTGACGACTTTTTCACCCCAAGCCACTCAGCATCATTCATAGGCACAGTCGTGTTGGTGACATTAAAATTTGGCAAATCCTATGAACGAATTATTTTAATCAATCAAAACAAAATTATTTGTGCAAAACACTCACTGTGCAATTTACATCCCAGTAGGAATGATTGATGTATTTGATCTGATAGGTCATCTGTGTGAGAATTAAGAGACAAACCAGTCCAGAGCAGACATGCAGAAGAGCTCTCTGCATTCGAGTGCCCAGCGGCATGGCTGCCACAATGAGAACGACCAAAATTGCATGAGCGCCGCAAACCTTAAAATAAACCAATTTAATTATGTACAATTTACATTAAAAATTATTAATTACATCATTAACTGCCATGAGCATGACAGATATCAAAGTGATCTTGACCATGTGAAGTTCAAGCAGGCGCCACAGGAGTTCCTGAAGCTCAAAAGCCAAAGTTTTTGTTTTATTTGCCAGTCTTGCAAATTGGGCTGTAGACATTTCTAAATGATCAGATATCTGTAAGTGCTGGTTTCTAGAAAGAAAATTAAACTTTACTTCTAATTGCTTCATAAGAAAGATCTTTTGGTGTTATAGGCTCGTCTAAAGCCAGCTTTTCCGAAATCTGCTTTCCAGACTTCACGACTGCTCCAGAAGGTGGGATTGTAGTCGTCAGAGAGTTGAGTCCACTCTCTGGGTCATTGTCACTTAAAACCCTACAATAACAAAATCAGAAACAAATACAACTTGCTATTTATTAATGGTACCTGTATCTTATGTCAGAAATTGCAAGGAAGTCTTTGTGGAAATAATGCAACTGTATGACTGTGATAATTACGAAGAACGTAGGCGTCAGCAGACGTACAAAAAGGGAGCCAGTGTCATAAATTTCTAAGCCTATATCATGTTGCCTGAAATTTTATAGACGATAAATTAATTACCATTAATTTACTGAAAAACTTACAGCTCGTGTGGTATCCCAGTATAATTGTACCAGTACTCAGGAAAATTGTCAAATTGGTAAGTGTAAATCATGACAAGGACTAGCATTGAGTAGACGATGACAGTCAACCAGAAGCCATACATCATTACCCTCCAAATACGATATGAAAACTAAAGAATTTAAAATAAATTTGACGCCTCATAAAAGTAATTTATTTTAGTGCCTACTTGGAATGTCAACACAAAAATGAGGAAAAGGGCCATGTAGACAATTCTGTAAAGAACAACTTGACCTGAACCCAGGCCAATGACGAAAAGCATGATTGCCACTACCCAGATCCAGAACTTTGTCAGGAAGCTCTGAACCCAGGCACCCAGCTTGCTCATCAGCGACTGCCTAGCTGCTTGATGACCTTCGGTTTGTTCAGTTAGCTCTATAAAAAAGAAGACTTTTTATGAGAAAAAAATTCCAGCTGTGGTGCTGGCTTGGCATACATGCGACCTGATGTAGTGCAGATTATTTTGTACAATTGCATTTAATGATGAGCATGCTTATTGAAATGAGTTCATGCTTTTTTCCGTGCTCGACTACTGCACTAGATTGATCGCAAGGTTACCAACCATTGTTCTGCAGACCTGAAGTAAGACCGCTTGCAGTTGTGGTGACAGTGATATTGAATGGTTCGGCTATTCCTCCGACAAGGGCTGATGAGTGTTTGGCCTCATAGCGTTCTTGCATGTATTGCCGCAAAGTGACCCAAAACATCAGGGTAAACGAGCTCTAAAATATAAAAAATTATGTTTTATCTAGCATAAGTTGATTAAAAAGGTATTGCAAACCTTGACAGATAAAGGCTTCAGAGGAAGATACTCAGGTTTGATGAGCCCAATCTGTTTGAGGTTGACCCAATCAACTGTCTCTGGCAGCTCTTCATTGGTCAGATCAAGGCTGTAGATATACTGGGCAATGAGCAAAAGCTGGGCATAGATTGCTAATGCTGGAGAACAACGTAACATGGCACGACGCTGATTTGGAGTGATCCAAAGAATACTGGCCCACAAAAGAAGAACAAACGTCAGCCAGCTGTGATATGCAATGCTCCAAGCCTGAAAAATTAAAGTGCACCTTACACATTAAGATTAATAAAATAATTTTACATACCATCATGATGATGTTGGTAGCGATATAAGATGAGCGAATAATCAAGTTCAGTAATCCCATGACTGAATCAACAAGAAGCTCAAAGATACTTGTTTCTTCCTGCTCTTCCAGCGCATCTTCAACTATGAGCAAAAATTTAAAAAATGAAATGGAATTACATTAAAATATATTTTTCCCAAAAGCATTTTTAGATAAAAATATTATATAAATTTATAAAAATTTAATAGAAGAAATTACCAGAGCTTTTTAATTTTAATGTTGAAAATTGGCATTTCATAAAAAAAAAATCCCTAATTTTTTTGCGAGAAAAAATCAAGCTAAGAAAAGAACAGCATCCATCTATGTATTCTTCTTTTAAGATTATAAACTTGAAACTATTATCAAAAAGTATTTACTTAAATTAAACCCTACCATAATTTTATTGTTAGGGGTTTAACACGCAAAGCCACAACAAGAGCAGCAATGGCACAATTAAATAATTAAATATAATTATCCTGATTAGATTATTAAACATAATAATAACACATTTAAAAGGTATTTTAGCTATATTCAACCCAAAATAATGCGCCCCTGCAACTCTATGATTTATGCAACCAGTGTGACTGCTCAGTGTATCCAGGCTGCCTATTTTTCACAGCTGTAGGAGAGTATGAGAATGATTTAATTTGCTAGTGGACTAAAGACAAAGAAGAAGTGAAGCGTCCCTATAGACTATGATTTTTTTTAATGCCTAAATAGAAAGATATTTTCTATTATTTTGTAATTATGCCAGGAATTTTGAAATATATTTTTTTTCCGTATTTAACCATTAAACTAAACTAAACACACAATAATGCCCTTATGCCATGCAATTTGTGTGGGGATCATGCAGGACCAGAATAGCGCTAAAAATCGGGCGATTTCAAAATAGGCGGCCCGCGTCAGCAAAACGGCCCAATTTTGCGCTCCTCCACGGCCCTAGCCTGAAGGCCGCTTTGCGGCTTTTTGGTGGCCCATGGGGGCTGCGGCTTACGGGCTCGCAACAGGTGCGCCCGATTACCCAGCCCGGTCCTGGGATCATATCAAATTTTAAATTTTTGATCATGCTTCTAATTAGCATAAATTCTAATCTGTTGCTAAATTATTTGAAACCAAAGACAACACTGATTAGTTACAGTAGCTTTTTTCTAGACAAACACATGATTCCATGTGGTTTTTCCTTACAATGTTCTCCCTCATCTAGCTGATTGTCTTTACTTTTGATTGGTTTCAAGGCAATTTCATCTGGACACCAAATTCTGCTACCTGTTGAGTCCTGTAAGTTGACGGCACTGCCTTCTTGGCTTGCACCGTTGACAGCCTGCTGGTCAGTAACTGTCTCATAATTTGTGGGCTGCTGACCCCTCATCAGCTGAAATTGTTTAATTCAACATTAGATCGAAATTTTAGAAAAATTCTTTAAAGAGGTGAACATAAATGTGAAATATTTTATTTACAGTAATTTTAAATAAAAAAAGGTGATGGTAAAATTTTAAATATTAATTGTGATGCAAAGAAAGTTATAAATTATTAATAACTACAAAAGTTAGTGAGGGATGCAAATAAACTCAAATCAGCCGTTTTACATACTGGTGTGGAGTCAGTGATTGGCTCTACAACATATCTGTGATTGTCACCAAAAGAAAGAACCTAAAACAGCAGATTTGAAAGAAATAGAAGTATAACTAAAAGCCTCAACCAAAATGTGCACAAATTAGCTTTAATTAAGCAGAAAGTGTTAAAATGTCGGAAGTAAGGTACTCTGCGCTGATTGGCCAGGGCGTTTGGACCCTTCCACCTGAGAGTCCTTCTTCTCGAAGTCTGCCTCTTGTTGTTTAACGAGCTGCTGCCCTGGCGCCTCAGCAGCGAGTTTTGCTTGCTACTGCCCAGGGACAGCGGCCCATTAGAAACTTCTTTCCGCAAACCCACCGACACCTCCTTTTGTGTTAGCATGTTTTTTTTATTACAAAGAGAAGAAGAATTTAGTTAAAGAGCGCGAATTGAGTTAACAGCAGTTAGAGAAAAAGTGCAAAAGATTCTTACAGCAGGGTCAAGTAGCTGCTTGCTTTCATGGACAAGCAAAAAGTAGAGCCACAATAGCACCAATGGGTTGACAAATGTGGCCCACTCAGCGTCTACCAGCATGACGTGTCGAGGCTCTTCACAAGAGGTCATCGTCAAGGGAGTTAAGCCCAGCAATCTAAATAATTTTTTGAGTTAAATTTATATAGAAAGAAATAAATAAAAAATTGCCTGGCAGTAAGATTGGTTGGTCCGAGTCCGTCAATTTCCTGAAACCACTCAACTTGATAGGTGAAAAGCGCGAGGACATGGAGAAGACAAAAGGCAGCACAGCCTTGCATCATGTGAGCAAAACCCTTGGTCAGTGGGTTTCGACAGGCCCAAGCAGTGGCGCCACCCAAAAAGCAGACAAAGTAGACGGCGCCAGGCAATGAAGGACGGATACTTCCGGCCAGGCACAACGATCCCAGTACAAAAAATTTACCTACAAATTTCAAATTAATTAACTCTGCGTGTAACAAAATTCAGGAAGAATTTTTTGATTAACATAAAAATATAAAAATCTGAAAAATATAGTAAATATTATTTTATTTCAAGGTTCAAACCTAATGAAGTGAAAATATGTGAGAGACTCTTGTTGGACTGTTGCTCGACAACGTCAGGTTGAGTGGGCTCTGGCTGCTCGCACATATTTTTGCAGACCATGAGCATAACGATGGAGGTGATGAGGGCGCCAATGTCTGGGCCCACAATGCGCGCCACATCTGGCAGGGCGATGTCGTCGAAGCGGACAAAGCCAAGGGCGCGCAGGAGGACCTCGAGCCACTCGCAGTTGTGCAGGAAGAAGGCGTACGGCGGCATTGCTAGCAGCAGCACTTGGAAGGCAACTTGGGCGATCACATTCAGCAGACTTAAGACTAAGAACGCCTGCAAGTAGCGACCTGTGTGACCTGGAAGAGTTTTAAAAGTAAAATTAACACCTTCTCATTGGTATTCTGGATGATTTTGAGGAAATTAAATTCATTAAATTAACCAAGGCTCAATAAAATTGGTATTTTATTTTTATTTAATAATTTATTTATATTTTATCAAAGAAAAAGAAGCACTTAATATTAAAATGAGCTTGAAATTTCATGAAGTAGTTTTATTTAAACTGAGAAAAAAGAAAATTCAATTTTTTCTTGAAATCCACTTAGAATTGTTAATCTTAATATTGCAAAAATTGTTTCTTTTTAAATAATTGAAGAGGTGGTCACAGTTACCTTTCATGGTGGCATGTGTGGGAACTGGGATGAGTGGAAGGCAGAGCAAGAGAAGCAGGTACACGAGTGACAGCCCATTCTGCCGCACCGCCACAACTGCAACACAGAAAATATTCAAAATACATAATAAAATCTTGAACAACTGGAGCTTTGTTCAATTTTTTAATAAAACAGCATTTTTTTCACAATTCTGCACTATCCTTTCAAAGTCCAAATCCAGAGCAAAGCAAGTAAAGTGGTATTCTCTGGATAACGGCCAACAGCTAACTAATTGTACATCAGTTGTGCATTTTTCTGAGAGAGATTTCACTTGTCAGCGAGAGGAGATTTATATTGTCAAGAAAGTCTTAATGCCTATTTCCATTTGAAATAGTAACTTATTTATTTATTCTCTTCATTCAAAGGCGCATACTTTTTTCTTCTCAATCCTACATTTCAAATAAGCGTCCTTACAAATAGAGCAACAAATAACATGGCAAATTTTCATTATCAAAACTTTGTTTAATTGAAACTATAATAAATGGTTGTTTACTTATAACACAAATTAAATATTAAAAATAAATTATTCTTTCATACGTTGTCGAAATAATTAAAAGGGTCAATGAGAAAAATCAAGAAAGAAAAACTCTTTAAAAATATAAATGAAAAAGCAATGGTTTTGAACGTCCGGTAGCAAAAAATAATACCGCTAGCTTGAAATTTTTGGTCGGCAGCTTCTTATCTGCGGTTGCAGCAGAGGTATAGGTTATAGGAAAATTATAAAACAGTTTCCTGTTAAAAGATAGCAATACGAAAATCATACTCATTAAAACACAATCCCTGAGTCAGAGAACATGGACGTAAAGAAGTTTGTGTTTGTTGTTCTACTATCACTGTTATTGTTCGCACCAGCTGATGCCGGTCAACTAAATAGACAGAAACGTTTACCAGGCAAGTTTACTTATATTCAAAACTTTAATTTTATCAATCGGTTGCTGCTTTTTCACTTATTCAGGTCGTTACTCTCCTGAACGATATGAAATTTGCTTGGACAAAGCTGGAGAAAATACAAAGATGCTGAATATGTGTTGGGAAATGTTTTCGCGTCATCAGAGGAGGTGTGGAAGCCCGCGTCAGGCTTACAATAAGAGGCGCCAAATGTGCCAAAATATTTTATGAATGAGAAGATAATTTAATAATATCTCATGAAATGTTTGTACATTTAACAAATTTCCCAAATTTGGTAACATTGGTATTTAATTTTATTAAAACCTAAAATTAAGCTTACGGATTGAGGTTTTTGTGAGTTATTTATAGTTTAAGAAAGCTCATAATAACCATCATGAAAAGCCGGTTTTTTTATTCAAATCACCATGAATCAACCCTCGATCGTGAAATTTTAGCAGAGAAACAAGTTTTCATATAATTACAGTTATTAGGATTTCAAAATTTACCTCGCATTGAATCAACAAAGATTTAAAATCTGTGTTTATACCGCAGGAGGGATAAAAGTTAAAATAAAAATTACAACATCTTTATTAAGGCTGGTAAAAATTGTATTGTCAGAATAAGGCGACTGGATGCGAGCCAATAAGCCGTGATATCTGCATTAACAGAGGGTGTCTGCGATCAGACGATTCAGAGCGTCTGGGTGAGAAGAGGAATTAAATTGTCGGCTTTGCGAGATCCACAGGCACTTCATTTGGATGAGAGACAAATGTTTATTCGTGGGCAGAAATAGATATAGTTTCTGGAAGGTAAAAAATGTTTGCCAGACAATCAGTTGGAGCACATTCGTGCGTTAGCAAGTTAGCACTGTTTTATAAATATAGCGCTCCAGCACTTTTGCGCCAAACTGTTCTCATATCTAAATTTGCTCAGACGCAATTGAAGATCCGCCCACACTTAAAAGAGCGAAAATAATGCTACTTTTTAAACGTTCGCAGACGCTTCGATCGTTTGAACAAGTAAGATAAAATAAAAATAATCAAGCGATACCTATACAAATCCTGAAACGAAATAAAATTTTTACTCTACGGTCAAATTGCGGGATAATTAAAACTTTTCATAGATTATAAGATCTGTATGCACTTCATAAATAAATAGGTTGCAAATAAAAATGAACCTATAAGGAAATATTGACTATAAAAAAATTATCACGCAGCTGTAGAAACAACCAGAATTTCTAACATTTTTTGAATATTATTAAATAGAAATAATTTAAATTTAAGAAAGTATTTTTAATTTCATTTTTATTTTGCCAATTGATTGATAAAAATAGTATATGAACTAAGAAATTGATTAAAGTTTATTAATTATAAGCATCAAAGAGATTTGTGTATCCCATTTTCTTCCCTTTGTGCTACAAATCAACGAAGCCAAGCTGAAAAATCGCTTTTTCCGAGGAAAAATGATGGCCGCCTAATTGAATCATTGGACCGAGGAACGCGGAGAAAGAAATCCGCCTGGCCCAAGCTGGAGAGGAATGAGAGGCCTCCACAGGGGGTGGTTATTAACGCGATAGGCACCATATAAATTTAAGAGCCCCGTGGGAATGCACGCGCACCGACCCCCGCGTGCACCAACCACACCCCTTGAAAAGTGGCACAAACACACACGGGCCGAGTGACGAGCAGGACAAGCACTTCTTCTGATAAATTATTATGCCCCCTAGCGGCTCGATCGCCCCTCGGCCACTTGCAAGTGGCAAAAAGGGGTGCCCGTCAGGTCAAGAGTCTTGATTGAAAAGGTCTTGCTACGGTAAAATATTGTCAGGTGTAAATTTTATTAAATTAAATTACTGATTTAGATTTTAGATTCTAAAGTGCATTTTTTTTAATAATTTTAAAAATTCCATGACAGAAAAGTTTTAATTATTATTATTAATATTATTATTAATGTAATTATTTTTTTAATAAAAATTGAGCAATTACAAAAAAAGAAAATTTTCAATTCTCTTCCTTGATTTTGTCTTATTACATTTTTAAATTTGTTAATTTCCAGAAGATTGCAATTGAAATTAAAATTAATCTCAACTTTTTTTGTTTCGAAATTTATTCCTGTCTTTCTCTTTGCAGTGCATTTTTCCCGTCCTCCTGCACGTGTGCGTGTTTTTTGTTGCACCCCCTACGGTCTCGACACTCACTCACCCACGTGTGAAAATGAGTTGGCCGAGCTAGATGGGTTGGGTCGGGTGAGTTTTAAAGGCCATCCGCTGATCTTCTCGCACGACGAGGCGACCGTAAAACGCAGGCAAACAGAACGCGCCACGCTTCTAAAACACCTTCCGCCACACAATGCAGACTTTTTGGCTTGAGCGGCGACGGTTCATTGAGCTGTCCCGCCATCCGAAGAGTGCGAATAGCAACAAAACACTACCACTTTTGTCCTATTTTAGCGGCAATCAGGCGACAATGAATAAAGTCAAAAAATATTAATAAAATGTAATTTTTATCATCAATAATAAAATCATTTGTTTTACATTTTATTTTTTAGTCTCACACTTGAAAAAATAAATGTATTCTTATCGTTAAGAGAAAAATAATTATGCAACCAATTCTTTAGCTAACTGAATCATACGAGGAAAATAAAATTTCCAGACAATGGTAAATTATTTTGTTTAGAACATAATTAAAAAATTAATGAGGCCTCAATACTGCATTGGTTATTTTGTTAAAGTTCTTTACAAGGAAACATTAACAAAATTTATAGTTTATAATTAAAAAAGTTCATAAGAAGCCGATTGGCTACAGATAATGGGCTAAATGAAAGCTCCACGTCATAATTTACGCACACAGGATTTTGGTTTTTGGTTTCATAACTTCCGTTTTTCTTGACAGTATAAAAGGGCAAATTGATAACTTGTGAAGCATTCATTGACAAACGTTTGTCAAGTCAGTACTCTGCCGAGCTCTGAAGATGGGCAGAATTCTAAAGACGTCGATTTGTGTGACTGTCCTGATTGTGGTTCTTTGCCAAACCATCGCTTTTTCAGAAGAAAATTGGTGGTTTTCAAACCCATTCAAGCGCCCGCGTTTAGGCTCCCTTCGTAATGTAAACGCGGCAAGTGCTCCTGATCGGTCTGAGACATGCTTTGAAGAGGCTGGCGGCAACATGGCGGCGGTAAAAAAATGCTGGAAATTATATCCCGAATTAAACAAAAAATGCGGGTCTAAATATGTATATGATGTGAGGACGAAGAAATGCAGGGTAAAACATTAAAATTCTGCAAGAAAATTCACCCTTGAGACGCACCACGTTTTTAAACAAGATCTTTGTATTGCAAACTAAACAAATTATTTCCTGTTGTCAATTTTTAGTGTGTGTTTTTTTCTTTGTAATTTTTAGTGTAGACAGTGTTGTCATATTTGCGTTGTTAAGTATATTCCAGTTTTCTTACGCATGTAATGAAATCTCATTTTAAAAATAAAAATACATGAAAATAAACAACTTGTGCCTCTTTGCTGGTTGCAAATTAAACACTGCCCAGTTATGAAGGTGATAAAGGACTGACAATGAGGTTTGTCCATCTGAAGGTGGAATTATGCTCTGTTCCAACTTGCAATTGGAAATGAACACAAAATGTATTGTAAGAAAAAAATATTGAGGGATAATGACATGCTTTAGTTAAGTACCAAAAATTTCCATAAACTAACTTAGCATTGAATATCCCAAATTATCGGATTAAATTTTAATAAAATTACATAATTTGGTATATAAAAGGCAGAAGTGCATTCATTTGTAAATAATTTATTATAAAATTTTTTCCCAAGGAAAATTATCAAAAATTGTTTTTGAATAAATATAAACAGCAATTAATTAATAAAATACAAAAATTCACAATGAATGTCCTTGATTTGTCTTTTTTGTTATATTTCAATTTTTTAATTTTCAAAGGACCAGAAAAAGATGTCTAGAAATTCCACCCTGTATTTCTATCATTGCTCTATATCAGTTGCAAAATAATATTTATCGATATATCACAGAGACTCAAAATAATGATGACAATAATTGCTTAGTAAAGAGCGGGAAATGAAAATTCCTGATGATAATTAAACATTTTATTTAGGATTTGATTAAAAAGTAAATGATGCGTCAATTATTTAAGTGCGTCAATTGCATTATCTGATAAACTTGGTACAAGGAAACTTGTCGAAAATATGTAATTAAAAATATTAGCCGGATGACAAATGGTAGCAAACAAAGAGACGCTCTGGCTCATTTGCGCACCCTTTAATTATTTTGATACTGTGGTGCACTGTGGTGCTGTTCCGGTTATTTTGTCGCCAGTATAAAAGAGCAAATTAATCGCTTGTGAATAGTTTATAAACAAACGTTTATCAGTTCAGTTCAGTACTCTGCTGCAGAGCTCTGAAGATGTGCAGAATTCTACAAGCCTCAATTTTTGTGACCGTCCTGGTTGTGGTTTTTTACCAAGCAAAAGCTTATTCAGGTGAAAATTGTAAGTTATAAAACACATTAAAGCACGTTGTAGAGTTTCAAAAAATCAAAATTTTGTACTTTTATGATAAAACTCTTATAGAATCAAAATCATTTTATTCTATTCATAATTAAAATTTTTTTATCATAAGTGTTATTTTATAAAATATTCCAGAAACATTCTATACTTAAATTGAAAAGTATTGAAATACAATAAAGAAATTTAAGCCACTGCATGGGCCATTTAATTTTTTAAAAAATGTGTTTAAAAATAATCAAAATGTTTGATACAAAAAAAAAACTCATCTATAAATTAATTGAATCTGATTTATCTATCTCAGGCAGACATAAACAATAAAATGTTATAATGTCACACAAAAGAAAAGTGATTAAAATACAATTTATTTCACACCTAAATTTCCAGACCATAACAACCACGATGAAGATGGTGATGACATAAAAAAGTTATCTACAGGTTAGTTAAGAGCCTAAAAATTGACCAATTTACCTTGAAAAAACTTAACGTCAAAGGTTTTTAGCGTAAAATAAAACTGATTTTCCAGGTTTTAATATAGTAAATGCCAGGACGCGGGATAAGTATTGCCTGGAAAGGGCTGACGACAACATGCAGAAAGTAAAGAAATGCTGGGAATTACACCCAAATTTAAAAGGAAAATGCGGGTCTAAATATGTGTTTGACGAGAGGACGGAATCATGCAGGAAAAAATAATAAATTCTGCAAGAAAAATCAACGTGGCGACGCATCATATTTTTAAATAGTAATTTTTTATTACCTTTGAATTATAAAAATCTTTCCAATCCTCCGAATATAAAGAAATCACATTATGAAAGCAAATTTAATAAAAGCTTGAAAAATAAATGACTGTGCCTCTTTGCTGGTTGTACATTGACCCAATGTAAGAGATAAAGGACTTGGGTTCGTCCGTGTGAAGGTCGAAGTACGCTCTGTTTCAACTGGAAACAAGCCCTAAGAGGCCGATTTTTGGCACAGATTTATTTGAGCTATTGATCATTATTCGCAGAAAATCTTGAAATTTTGATTTATCAAGTGGAACAATTCGGCTCTTCAACCAGTTTTCATCTTTGATTTAATATAATAATTTTTTAAATTGAATGCTGTAAAATTCAACTGCAAAATTTGTATAAAAAAATCAGCGTTTTTCGATAGTATTTTTTTACCATGATAAGTCGGTTTTCTATAAATATCTAAATATTTTGCACATTCACATTTTTTTCATAATTTATTAATTTTAATGCCTGCAGGTGGGGAATCCTTAAGCAAGAGTGTATATTTTAATTTCCTTTTTCCTTCGCAAACGCGAGATAAACATTTATCAAAGAGTTGCGTTACGCCACCCTCCGTCATTGTTCTTCTTTGGGAATCGCTCCACTTCCGCCCCGGTGAAAGGCCACCACACCCTTTTTAAATGACTTCTTGGCGCCATCTATAGGGTTGCTCCCTTTTTATTCTGGCCGAGGAAAAATTCCGTGTTTGCCTTAATCCGAGATTAATTTGTTGCGCAAACAAACACACACCAGGGATGGAAATGAAAACATGGCGCAAGTACACACACAGGTAATGTTTCATTAAAGAGGCACGCCAAGAATGCAGCCGCAGCCGACACGCACGTTTGCATTGTTTTGCGTGTTAATCAGGTCAGTTTTTATCACCAGATTACTAATGGAACTGCGTTGAATCATACTTTATCCGGTTATTTTTCATCCCATAAACTGGGAAATCCAAAAAAGATTGTTGAAAAGAACGAAACCGTTCAGAAAATCACAATCTCATAGATCTATGAGTTTTAATAGATCATTGAGTAAAAATTAAAATTTGGTAAATTATTTTCTCTTGTACAAAAAAATTGATTGAATTTAAAAAGTTTCCTGTTTAACAGCTAAATGCAATAAGTTCTGAATTTAATAATTCAGTCAATTTTCGACAAAAAAAATTTCTAATACATTTTGTCTTCACAAAGAGATCCGCTATTAATCCTTTTTTAACTGAAATTTAGAATTTTGAAAAAGCTAAACAGTAAAAAATCTTAAAAGAAAGTTTTATTTGAAATAAAAAATATCCTGAATTTTTTTAGTAACTTGAATGTCATAATAATTAGATAAAAAAATCTAATTTACTTAGAATAATTTTTATAATATCTAAACAATTTAATGTGAGAATAATTTGGATTATCTCAAATAACAATAAATTGTGTAATTTCTCCATTTTTCAATTTCTTTTTTAAACAGAATTCATTGACACTTGACACGCCCTATTCTCTTTATTCTCTCTCTCGATGTCGAACAAAGGCCTTTTCAACCGTGCTTTATTACTTTTGCAATCAGCATTACTTCCTGAGGCGGTCCAACTGCTGAGGTTATCCCTCCCGAATGCTAATAAGATCTTCCAAGAACTAACAAAAAGAGAAACCGCCGCCAACTTGTCTAATCACGCCTTTTTGAGCGACACGTTTTTAAGGTTTTGGTTCGGGAAAAAAATTAAGAAAATTGGTTTTAGTACTCACATGTGGCAAGGCATAGTGGCAGGACCAGTCGGAAGAGCGTGAAGCATACTAGGTGGGTGGTGGTCATCGTGCTCTCATGGCCTCAGATTTCCGCCAGCAGCCCATCACTCGTCTATCCGGACGATTGTCATCTGAGATGAGAAAGGATTGAATTTAATTAAAAAGGTTTACATTACGTTATTGATATGATCAAAATGTGCAAGAGGGTATCAATGACACTGGAAAATTATATTGCAGCTGTTAGGGTACTTTTTGTTCAATTCAAATTCCTATAAAAAAAGGAATGAGACAAAAATTAATAATACAATTTTTAAGTGAATGGTTTTAATTTTTTAGATTAATTTCTCAAATTAATGATACGTTAAATATTGATAGTTTGTTTTCTTTTCAAATGAGACAATGGTGCAGTAAAATTTGAATTATTTATTTTTATGGAAATGAAGCGATCGGGCTTTTCCTCGTTGCAGAAAATTGTTTTTATTCAAAAACAAATGGCCCTACCAGTTTCGGTCACAGTCTGCGACCCTATTTCATGAGCAAACGCGCTGCTCGCTGACAAATATTGAAATAGAAGAAACGTTAATTTAGTATCAACAAAAAATTAATACAAAAAAAATATATCCATTCAAATTTCAAGCATTAAATTATTTTATTAATTGTACTTTGAGCTATTACAGAAAATGTTTTTGTAATTTATATCGTTATAAATTGAATCTATAAGTTTTTAATTCTTCTGTTATCCTCGAATGAAGCGCATCAAAATCAAATTAAATCAAAACGGAATGTAATCTATTTTGCACGTTTATTTCTGCACCGTCCATCACTTTTATAATTAATCGCGTGATGAAATTTTCACGACCCCCAAGTGAATAAAAATTAATTAGCAAAAGCTGTTTGCGGAAATTCCTCAGTGGCGGCGCATTTCATGCAAACGGCAGATAAACCTTTGAGAAAATCAACCACACGCACGAAGCCGAAATTCGCGTGGCGCCAGTAGCAATAATACAGCATGTGCGGAAAAAAGTTAACGGTCTATTACACCATCCTCGCCGATAAACACATGCTTGAGTTTGGTTGGATTTTGGTCGCATGTCTGCGGATAAACCGTAGCTGCCTTTTCCACTGTATCAAAAACTCGCCGGCCGATACACATGCATATTTAAATGAACGTCAACTCACGGCAAATGACGTCACAAGTATACACCGCACAAAACCAATTCAAAAGAATTTTACCAGCTGGGTGACAACAAAGTGATGTATTATTATTATTTGTCTCTCAAAATTCAATTTAATCTTTGAATTATTTGCTTAATTGTCAGTTTCAATTGGAAGTTTCAATCAGAAAATAATAACAAATAGTTTAATTGTTTTTGATTAATTATCAACTACTAATATCTTTTTAAATTTAAGTTATCCTTGATTTAAATTTTTAACTGAATTTTATAATTTCTGATATTAGGTAATACAAAGATGTACATAATTTTATTCAAGCAAAAAACTGCAAAATTATGCTTGAATCATTATTCCAATTCAAATAAAACGTGGTTAAGTAGTGAAATAAAAAATTATTTCAATTAAAATCAATTATGCTATTTATATAGCTACTTTTATCTAATTGAAAATTGTTTCTGAGTTAGTCAGGATGGTTTTCTTATTTTTTCTTGATGGCGAATTCAACGAAAAATCGATGAGTGTGCGTCAAGATAATTATGTTCAGGCGTTTTCGTGATAGTCTCTGCGCAGTTCAACTTCTCGGCACATAATTTCTTCCGAGAAGTTTTTGTTCACCCCGCTCGCCATCAAGGACGCGTTCATTTCAGAAATCGATTCAGCGTGGCGCGACAGTGGTTTGCGGAAAACGAAAATCTGAGAGAATTTGCTCTCGCCACTAAAACTAATTTTTATTTTCAATTACAATTATTGGGAGGGAACTACGGCCAGTGACTTTTGCGTTGACCCAGTTTGCTGAATTTTTATTTTACGACGCCGATTGTTGTAAAAATAAATTGTTCTTCGTGACCTAGCACAACATGCAGGCAGCTCGTTTGTAACGGATTCCGATTGCTAATTGCCGCCCCACAATCGGCGGAAAGCGGCTTCCAAATACGGAATCCAGGCGGTTTCGCCCGTCGGTCATGTTTTTGGTGCGAGCCGTCGGCAGCAGACCAAACTGGGTAGTAAATGTCAAATTCAAAGGTCATAAAAGAAGCCGCCTCAAGCCAGAAGGGAAATGAGAAATGAGCAAATAATAAATATTACATGACACAACATGGGGAGAGAAAAATACAACAACTGGGTGAAATTTTCACTGAGATGAATATTTTTTGAAATTGCGTGAAAAAAGATGAAAAAAAATAAGTTTATCATATGTAATTTTATATCATATAATTATGTTCTACACGATAGTTTTCAATATATTTCTGATTGAAAAATAATTAATTGAATAAGTAGTGTAAAATTTTTAATTTTTATCCTCCTTAAAGTTTTTTTTTTAATATAATGTACAAAAATAATGAAGAACTTTGCATGATAAAAACATGTAATTTGCGATTTTTTTAAATACTGTTAATATTCACTTAAAACATTCCTTTTCTAGTATTATTGTAGCCTGTATGAGGTAGTGAGTTGATCAAACATCACAACCAGCAGCGTGTTTTGTTTGTGCATGTTGTAATTAATTGCTCGACTGCCATTTGTCTTTCTCTTGCCAGGTCGGAAGTAAACAAAGGGCGCCCGTGATAAGATTACACATAGATGAGTGAGTGTGATCATGCGTGCGCTTTTAATGTGTTTATGATGAGCCAGCAAATAATCCACATGCAACTCCCGCATTGTCATACTCTCGATTTCAGAAAACGGGGGAAAATTTGCAAATAAATTTGAAGTGTGGGCTAAAAATTGCTCTTTGAAATAATTAATTAAATCTTGTCAAATATGTGTGAAAGAAATATCAAGAACAATATTAAATTTAAATATTTTAGAACTGAAAAAGTTTTTAAATTTTTGGTATCACTTTTACTTTGCGTATTGATCAGGAGCGTTTTCCTGATGTGATAGATAAAAAAAAAGTTCAAAAACACTTTCTGGAAAAATTTTAAGAACTTTTTCTTTTTTTAAATTATTTGTTTCTCGATTTATAATTCTTGTAATGAAAGCAACAAGACACAAAAAATATAATTTATTATATTAATTTCAAAGGACAGACAAGCTTTTTCTCTAAATAATTGAACTTTATTTATTTATTTATTTGAAAAGAAAAAATGAACTATAGAATGAATTATTAAAAAAAAAATTAAAGCGATACAAAAAAACCTTCTGGTTCTGATAAAAATAATAAAATTTTTAAATAATAAAAAGAAACCACATATTTGCTTTGACGATCCTTCTAAAAATTGTGAGCTCATAATTTTTATATTTTGCTGGTTTTACCTGTTACATGGGGTTGGCTCTGCTCATTATACGACTGCATGCGCCGCAAGAGTGTGCAAACAGACACGTACACCGAGGGAAATTTCCTCTTAGTCATGCGTTTAACGTGTGTTGAGCGGTTCGATCCGATTTCCCAGAAAGGGTTGACGGCCGCAGAGGGTGGTGCAAGTCGAGGGAAAAGTTTAAATAATTCTTGCGATATCTTTTTTGTGTGAGCAAAGTTATTCCAAATTTCGATCTACTTGGTGTGTGCGTGTCGACTCCTCTTCTTTTTTTGGCAGCTGACAAATGGGGGCGCACTAATTAATGAATTCCACGCCGTAAAATATATCGTCCATCCCCTTCATTGTCCCGAAGGCAGATAGCGATCCACACCCACCTGGGCAGCTCTTTAATGAATGCATAGCATGACATTCCGCGTGTTTGCGCTTTTATCTGCGCGAAAACCTTAATGCCGAGTGACGGCCGAGAAGAGACGCCTCGTTTGGCCCCGTAATTATGCTGTCAGCTGGGAAAACTAACATGCAATGCAAGAACCATAAAAATGCACCCGTAGTAAAACAAAAAGTTCGTACAAAATTTAATTCAATGATTATTATTTAAAATAATTTTCTGTCAAATTAAAATATGTAACTATTTCAATTTTAAATTTTAACAGATAAGCTTGATCTTTTAATTATGTAAATAAATTTCATTTCATTCATTAAATTAAAATTATGTTGGAGACAAAGAGAACGTTCGATCTGATTATATGAGATGACCTGCTGCGCCAACGTTGTCAGTAAAATGCACTCGAGGCGCTATTTCTGTCTGAAGTCCCATCGACGGATCGCCGCTGGGCACGTTTTCAATCTTCATAAAGATGCACCACTTTCATCCCGAGTGGCTCTCCACCCTCTTAATTGAGCTAACTCACTCACAAAGGTATCGTAAAATCAGGGAATATTTATTTATTTACCTTCGGCACGCGTGCCTCTCGGCCGTGTTTACGCACTCGCCTCTTTGAGTTTGTGTTACGAATCATCCGACTGAGGCAAACCACAAATTCCAAACAAACTAACACCGCCCATCCTATATATGATGACCGTAAATCTTATGACTGCTCCATTTAATATTTTGATGATTTTTTTTCAAACTGTTTGTTTCTCTGAATTTCTATTTTAGAACTCTTTAATGAAGGTAAGAATTGAGTTTCCTCAAAGTATGATGTCTTTCCTTTCGTTATCGGACGAAAGGTCAGCATAATTATCACATACCGTAGCAAGGTGTGATGCCCCTTTTCGGCGCAGGTGTTGCCGGCAGTTGCTTCTTTTTAATGGCAGGAAAAACGCTACCCTAACAGCTGACGCCCCAAAATACTTGCGAAAATTGTAAGGGAACTTACCAATTCGGCCTGCAGCCCTTCTTTGGAGACGATTTTCCAATTAACAGGGGTGTAATTCGGCGAAATACAGCAGTAACAGCACTCTCAGCTTTCAAGACACAACTCGCTGACCGCCGGTTGACTACTGCTGGTTGCAATGAGGGCGGGACTAATTACAATGTTGCCAACAAAGTCAACCTTTAAAAAATTCATTCTTCCCTCAAATTTTAAGCTTTAACGTTTGATATCAAATAAATTCTTGAGAAGAAACGTGCCATATTGATACAGGTAAACATAATCAAAAATAATGGAGACAATTTAAAATAATTTGACAACACTTTTCAGCTCCCACTGTTGCCAACAGAATTCTTTCTACTTTGGCCGATGGCGTGCTCTGACGGCTGGGCGGCAAAGCTTGGCATTGAGGGAAGAAAAGTTGGACTGAGACCGTGATGGCGGACAGTGACGTCTCGGTGATGGTGCGGATCGCGGATTGTGGCGAGCATTGTCAGGCTGCTCAATAAGCTGGCCGCCGCGGGTGGTGCAGTCGGCATTCGGCCATCGACGCTCAAGCCCCCGGACAGAACCGTCGGCTGCATCAATGTTCTAATACTCAGAGGTAAGTGTGCGAATTCGTCTCCAAGGCTGCTGAAGGCCTTGCTTTCTACTTCTTCTTCTTCTTCTTCTCGTCCAGAGTAGTGTTGTTCTGCACACACTCCAGTGTGTGCAATTTGTTTTCGCTATACCCCCTTTATCGTATTATTATTATTCAATTAGCCAGTGCTTGCGTCCACTTTGCACCTGCTTAGGACTTTCGAACTGTCGTTCGGAAAATATGCGAAGTTTTCTTGTTAGTGTCATGTTGTGCCTGCTAATGATTTTACATACACTTGAAAGCCGTTTCTTTTACTGTTTTGCGAATTTTTTGCTCAAACGGAGTTTCTCTGCGAATAGGAAAAACGGCTCGCGGCATGATAGAGAATGCGGAAATATTATTACCTTTGAGAATGACAATGAATATAATCGGCTACAATGCAAAAATTATTTAAAAACATTATAATATTTATATCTACATGTTTATTTGCTAAAATTAATCATTCAAGTGACAAATAAATGTTTAGTAACAACTTCAGCACACTTTGAGTATGTATAATTATGTACGAAGTAGCTCAAGAATACAGCTGTTTTCAGTAGAATTGATGCCTATCTCATTATAATTTGAGCTGAATAACTGAAAATTTTATAAATGCTTCAAGAACTTAAAAATTCGCACATTCAAATTACATGATTTTTTAGTCTTTTAGTGTAAAAGTTACATTATTATTTTTTTATTTATATTTAAATTATATAAAAAATAAAAGCACAAATTTCAAATTTTCTTCATTATTTACGTTATCAACCATCTGAGTAGAATATAAAAATCAATGTGCCATGACTTTATCAAAAAATTAATAAAATAATCTGTCCTTTTAGTTAACAAACGGCAACAAACAACACTCGATTGTGAAATGAATAATTTTAATTTCTCATTTAATTTTTTTTTTCTAAACCAGGGGTTGATGGTTATCTACTAATTTATTTTACACGATAAACGCTAGAATATTTCAAAAGCATTTTTAAAATTATTATATTATAATATTTAAAAGAAAGATAAAAATCAACATCTGATTATGAGGTCTAATTCTGTAACCTTGAAATAGAATGCAAAATTCCGGAAGTGAAAGACAGGTGTTTGTGATTCAGAAACAAACGGTCGAATCGGAAAGCCAAGACCGTCTTTTCAATTCTTTTCTTTGCTGAATTCCTCGAAGAAGAAAATTCAGAGCAAGGTTGATGTGCAGTGCAATTATTGCTCAGTCGATAGCGTTTTCTGCACGGAATTCCAGAATAAAGGCCATCTAGCCTAGTGAGTTGTGAGTTTATCTTATCAGCTCGGCAGCAAGTTTGCGGTGCGCTTTCCGAGCTCAGTGAATCACAAAATTACACCCTAAGCCTCTCTGTTGTTTGCCACCACGCACGAGTCACGCGGGGTCGCCCTTTGATCGCTCACTCTTCGTCCTGCCAAACTGTCCCATTCTTGGGCCCCACGCAAGGCGTAAAAATATGTGACACTTGCGGGACTTCTTCGAGTGGCACAACTCGTCTATCTTTGTACCTGTGAATGGAAAATTTATGCAACCGGCCGTGTATGTTTGGGCCTGGAAAATCAAGTGACGCAAACAAGGATTTAGACCCTTGCATGTTTCTCGCCGGTGACCGTTCTGTGCGTCACTCTTCTCTGATTGATATGTGTGTATTTATACAAAAAAAAATAAGGAAAACAGATCGAACGGTTTATCGACATCGGTGCTTTGTTCTGAACCAGTGGGCATCAATCAGAATTGATCATTATTAGACGGATGGGGATGAAAAAATGAACCAAAATGAATTAACGTCAGCTAAATTTTGTTGCAATAAAATACCCTTTTTTAACTTGAAATCAGATATTTTATTTATTGTTTGAGACTGTTCAGCCGTTTTTTGGCTGGTGTTTAATTTCATGGAAAAAGATATATTAATTAAATGCTCAACATGTTTTGGCTGCAACCATAATTTATAAGATGTATTTAATTCAATTAATTAATACAATGTTTAAAATTTAAAAATTTAAAAAAAAAACGCAGAAACATTGTTTTTAATGTAATTTAATTAAATCTCAACCATGTTTGTGCATCAGAACTATCTTAGCAAATTTTGATTGTTGCGACGAGGGCACACCTTTCATATTAACAAAATAAGTATGTTTTTTTTCTGCGATGCGCAAACCTTGAATCGCAATAGCAATTCAATATCATAACTAAGAAACTCAAGGAATATCCAAGTTCAAATTCAGCAAACGTGATTTAAATTGTTATCATCAAAGCTGGCAGATAAAATTTAAAGGTTGAACTTCGTATTGATAAGAGTCTTGCTTGACCTTCCAGAGGAGAAAAATTAAAATTGCCTCTTTCCATACAATCACTCCAACAACGTGAAGTTGTAAACAGTTTTCAATTGAAGTGAAGTTCTCGGCACATAAATAAATCTATATTTGTTCAAGAAAGTTGTATATTTGCCTTCGGAGAAACGCAAACAAAAATATTCAGGAACCTGATAGAAAATAAGTGAAAAATATTTATTTTTGGCCTGAATCAAGATATTAAATTATTAACCAGAAATAATTCTAAATTGATATTGCCATTCTAGTTTCAAAATAATTATTTATTAATTTTTCTTGCAAAAAAGGAAGCGACCAATCATTATTGTCCAAAAAATGAAATAAAAATAAACATTAATACTGATTGATACATTTAATAAAACTGTCATTTGATAATGGGAGACTTGCAGAACCATATTAAAAAACTGTTTCGCTGCAAAACAAAAAATTAAAATTAACCGGTGACATCAGCCAGCCATCTGTGCCGACGCCCTGACGTTCCGCTCGGAGGAATTCCACTCACGGAGCCCAACAGACTGATTGCAATAATTGTTCGCCGCCTTCAAGTGGCCGATAAATTCACCTTCCTTTGCTCTCTCGGGGATCGCGATGCGTTCGAGCGCGCAAGACGCGGCGACGCCGTTTCTATTATTTGTTGGCAGCAAAGTCACCTCTGCATTTCAATCGCGCACCCAACCGACCAAGGGCGCCCCTTTCTCGGCGAACGACGCCAAAATCAAAATGAAAATGGAAATCTAAATGTAATTTAAACAAACATTTTTATGTTATTGTTTGCCAACTTTACCAAATTCAGGTGCGGACAAAAAGGTGTGGCTAAAATTTCTATGAGCTAAAAAAAAATGAAGGTAAATAATTCAAAGGATTTAAGGAAAGAGAAGTTTTTTTTTACTTCTTTATAAAAAAAAATATGGCATAGAAACAAATCTCAAGTTACTATCAAAGAAAATTGTTATATTTTAATTGTAATAAAATATTAAAGTTCCTAAACTTTTTTTTAAATTTCAATCTCCAATGTATAGATGATTCCTTGTTTATTACATCTATGTTTTTTCATTTCTCCGGTAATAATTTTGTTTTACAAATAATTATTCTTGAGGAAAATAACATTCAATTATATTGCCGTTTATTTGTTTAAATGTTAACATCTGAATTGTTCATCAAACATCCAATTTCTGAGAAAACAATATATATTTTTTTTTAGAAAAAAGCAACTAAAACGGCATTACAACAACATCAATTGTCAATTGAGCTAAAACAGTCAATTCAAATTCAAAAAGAAAAATTCTTCATTTCATTTCCCACAATCTCTGAACAGTCTAAAGGTTGTTCCAGGGGTGAATCGCCAAGAATTTCTACTTCTAACAAAGATGATAAACCCCTTAAACCTATTTTTAAATTCTTTTAACCTATTTTTTTATTTGGCAAGGCTGAATTTTAATGAAGTCTAAAAGAATTCTAATTGAATGACTCTGGTGTTTTTCCGTGTACAAATTTCAAGAAGACGGCTTGTGCGTGTAACGAGCAAAAGCGAGTACAGACCTTGAGGTTCTCACTCAACTTGCTCAACTAAAGTAAACAGCCGCTCTACCCAACGAAAATAAAAGTCAATAGAGAAAAAGATGAAAGAGAGTCTTGCGACAAATCTAAACGAATTGCGATTTATTAATTTTCCTCCCTTGACCCAGCGAGTGAGCTTGGGAGGCAAGTTTGCCAAGTTCAACGATCCATACTCGGCCACCGACCGACTTGCGAACTCGTCGCTTTTTGTTTGCGAATGCTCGACATAGAAAGTGAGCGGAAAGCTGCCGCCGGCTACTTTTCTAGCATAGGAAATTGGGCCACCGCGATAAAGAAAAGTTAAAATTGACATTCTTTGCAGTGACTACCGCTCTAGATCTTACAGTTAGATCAACTTCTTCATACACTAACCTATTTTTTTTTTTCGTGTATATTCCAATGTTTGATGCTCTCCTGCCTCTTTCAATTGACCGTGTAATCTCACATCTGATAATAATTTTAGTTAATTTGAATATTCAAAATTTATAAATAATAATCAGGAAAACTGCATATTAATTGTTTAAATATTTTTTTTTTCTTAAAAATATGAATTTAGAAAAAAAATTATAAAATATTATAATAATTTATAATACAGAGCATCAGTCAAAATTAAACATTTTTATTTAAATCCAATTTTTCAGTGTCCTTGGAATGAATTTGAAATTGATTGTTCTATAGACTGCAATTCAAATTAAATCTAACTAAATCATCTTGTTGCGAAAGCGACGATTTATTACAGTTTTAAAGCTATTGCCAATAGTCCGCGCCATCAATCAATTCACCAATTCAAGTCACGTTAATAAAGTTGTTTTTAAGACTTCTCTTGAGCTCTTCATCAAAGCTGTAAAAACATTTGAGAGGTTTATGCGATAGGATCGGTTCTCCTCGCTCTTTCAACAAGCGAATTTAATTTTCGCTCGTCTCTCCTTCTTTCTTTGTTTACGCAACGACGCTTATTACGCATTCAAAGCGACTTCCCGCTCGGAAACATAATTCACCGGAACGCGTGGGCGCGAATACAAAATAAACCGAGAGCAGCGGCGGAGCAATAACTTTTTCGAGGAGTATGTGCGTCAAAAGGAAGA